ATTTAATATGCCAATCATAAAAGCGCAATGCCCTAGATAGCCAGGTCAAGCTATCTCTGATAGCTTAGAAATAGTTATCTAGAATGTACTGACTAGACAGAAGACACTTATCAAGACTTAAGGAACAATAACCGTTTTCAGCAAAAGAGCACTTTCTCACAGACTTCATATCAATTCTAAAAGATAAGGATATCAATTCTTAATAGTTATAACTTCATTCACACGATTGCTAGATCGTCCAGAATTGATTCATCCCCTCCCCCTACTATTCCTGAGCATATAACTCCCATGATCCTCAGACCAAACCACTGGTGCAGTTGTATTCTTGATGTCATATTTTTTACTGCAGGAGACCTGGAGTGAACTCATGTTATCAACTCATATATCCATATTATATTACTCTGTATTTTAGATGCCATTTGTAACATTATGAATAAAACCATTATTTATAAAGTCTCCACTGCCTCCGATTCGTTAACTTACGATGAAATGAAACTATTTACGAAGTTTCAGTCGGATGTTAATAATTCGATAAAAAGGAGTCTGGGCCACGGATTATAATAATGATTAAATTTAGTCTACGTATTTTGTTTAGAATATTTAAGGAACATTACATCATGAATTTTGGGGATTTGACTTCTAAATCGATTTTAGAAAAAAATACATAATTTATTTGTTGATTTACGGTATAAGTTTAACTTGTATTTATTTGAGTTCATAAAAAAAGTTCCGTTAAATGAGAAATAAACAGTAATTGGGCATTGATTTGAGTTGTAATTTATCTTAAATTAATTACACGGGATTCTAATGTATTGTTTGTTTCAGTGACGAAGAATAAAAGTATTTTTCTAATAGATTCTTTAGCAATATCAACCGAACTATTAAACAAAATTTGTTAAAAATAAAATTTCTGCAAAAATCTTTACTGGAAAAGTTGCAAGGGGAAAAGTTGTAGTTCCAAAGAGGTCAACAATAAAAGTTCCCGTGGGGCCAAAACTAAAAAAAAATAAAGTTTTTTTTCCGTTTCAAGCCCTGCTTCTAACAATTAATGTATATTATAATATGCATGTCTAGGTATAATATAGGTATAACTTGATTTCTTTTGTGAAATACAGTAAAATTTAATAAAGTTAGTCCTTTTTGTATTAGACCTTATATTAGTCCTTTTTGTTCGAAGGTCTGTACCTCGGAATATGTTGGTCATACTTCAGTTTAAGTAACGCACAAATATAATAAACAGGCAATAAATGATAATAATATATATATTGAAATATATGTTATATGTATTTAGCCATTTTTATTATTCAATGTGTAAATCATCGTTTCTGTGATGTTTGATCGTGAATTATTATTATTATTTCAGCTGATTATGTACCGATGATGATTAGGTAATTATCATTCTTTCACAGGCTGCTCTCCAGGGGAAACATGGAAGGAGAGTTGCCATACATGCGTATGTGATGGTGAAGGCAGACCGATGTGCACAAGGGAACTGTGCAGAGGCCAAGGAATAAAGATGAAACTGCCACCAATCAAGGAAAAGAGAGAGGCAACTGGTGAGTTTGTGTGAGAATTGAACTTAGTGTGAAAGCCTATACATTTTTAGGAGACCTAGAAACTTGTGATGTTATAATGAAAAGAACACTATTTATTCTTAACAGAGTGGGAGGGTCGAGATTAATTCGAACTTTCCACTCTGGTTAGAATAGGTTTGGTTGTGCCTCCAGAACTATTTTTCCGTCTGTCAGTAATGGCGAGGGCTGATTGAAAAAAAAACTATTTATTACCGATGGATGGATTAGAAGAAGTGCTTTGCCTCTGTTTTAACGTTTTTGCTAAGGCTCAGTTCTAAGAATTTAAAAAAATCGTAGCATCCTTGTTAGGATAAAACATTTTCGAGGCACCTCTACCGGGCTAATAATATTTAGTGGCACAGCTTTTTTTAATCAGTGAAATAATTGAATTACATATATGTTGATAAATGAAAACAATCAATCACTTTGCTTAGTGTTTCTAAAACGACAGAAAAAAAATTAAGATTATGTCCCACCATGACATCCAAACACATCTTCTGTTTCTTATAGAGTTTTTACTTGTTTATATTAATAATTGATTGTTATACCTTATCAAAGCAATAAATATAAACAATATTAACATCATTGTCCTGAAATAATTTTAAATTTATCAGTTTTAATTTTAATTTAGCGGAGCCGCGGTGGCCGAGCGAGTTAAGGCGCCTGCAAACATTTTTGAGCCATGAGTTTAACGCGTTCGCGGGATTTAAAAGAAAAAATAAATAAAGATAAAAAATAATTAATAATACATTTAAATTAAAATAAATAAGTGCAGTCGCTCAAGAGAGGCAGAGATGGAGCAGGCTTGTTAAGGCGGCAAAAGATCTACACGGTCTGTAATGTCAACAGAAAAAAAAAAAAAAGATACCGTCCCTACTCGATTCCTTAGACCACTACGACGCGGGCTCGATTCCCGTATGGGGACGGTGACGTCCCACCCTGAGATTCACAGGAAGGTGAGCTACTCCTTTATCTTCCAATAACATAGCTCCTGATCCTCCAGATTGAAGGTTGGGCACAGAGCCATTAATTAATATTATCCCATGAAAAATGAGAGGATGGATAAGTCTGCAAAAAGACGTTTTCAATCTAGAGATCGGTAAAGTTTGTCTATTGTGTGAGGAACTCAAAAATCATGAATATCCCTTTGCTTTCCACTTGAATCGTAAGATAATTTGGTCACAAAATCGAGGATGCCATACAGAAATATTGGGACGTTTGACGTGACCGTGTCAAAATAACGAAATTATATAGGCTAAACAGCCCAATATTTTTGTAGGCCTCCTTTTTTTCTTGATTTCTTTATTAATTCATCTCATGTTCCAGTGAAGAAAAACTGGGTAACTATGAACTTTTAGAGCTCATTGAATTAATTAATGTAATGAAAACCCATTTCTTAGAATTTTCGTAGATAAAAAAGTGTTGGTTAGCATAAGATGAAGTCGGGTATAAATAATTTTATAAAAAGGAGTCTGTGCCTCGGAACATGAGTGCCCATCCTCCTCAAGGTCGATGGCGCAAGAATCTAACCCAATCCTCCCTAAACCCTCCTCCTAAGATATTTTAATGCTCGCATTTTCTTAAAAACAGAGCAAACAAAGATAAAATTACAAAAAAAATCATAAATCATATACTATCACACTTACTGCGGTCTGTTCCATGTTTTCTCTTTATCAGTTAGTCCAAAAATTCATAGCCCCATTGAAATTTGTTCTCCTCAAAAATTCAAAAACTGGTCAAAATATGGCCCCCTCAAAACTTTTAATGGCGCTACTTGCACCATGAAACCTGGGCACCCCTGCCGCGGATTGATAATCATGAAAGTTAAAAATTGGAGTTTTATATGAAGTGAGTTTCAGTCAATATGGCAATATTTATCTACATAATTGTCATGGGAAAATATAAACAATTCCTTTAAACATTCTTTTAGGTCATTTACCAAGTTCCTATTGTGAAGTTTGACATTTTATGATAGAATATATTTTATAAGTATCATTTTAATAATGTAAATAAGTGCTTGATGAAAAAACTGCCCTATTACTTCTATATGGCATTAAATAACTAACTCATCTATTTCATTTGATCAATTTGGGCTCTTTTATAGATCAAGCACGCCAGTGAATTTTTGAAATGTTTTTCATTCGAATTAATATATCTCAGAAACTAAAAATCGGATCTGAATACTGTAAGCAAAGGAAACGTTTAGAATTTTATCTTCTCTGTAATGAGCTGCTGCTGAAAACTGTAACTTAACGTTAGGCTGTGTTAGAGAGGCATAAAAGGAAAAAAGGAACGAGTTTGGACGAGCATATAGATTAAAATACCACAGAAACTAGAAATCGGACCTTCATACTATAAGCAAAGGAAATGTTCAACATTTCATTGTTTTTGTATTGAGCTATTATTAAAAATTGTATTCTATTGTGACGCCGTGCTAGAGAGGGGAAAAATATAGCGTCACTGGTGAAAAAAGAGCCTCAATTTGTATTTTAATTCATTACTTTGTTTAGCGTCATTATTTATTAGTAATTAAACTCTGATCATATTGTCCTAATTTTTATTTATTTCTAACTCATATGTGTACTGACTCCATGTATATAACTCCAGCCGTATAGGTCATTACCTAAGAAGATCTAATTAGTACCATAAAAATCATTTCCAGCTAAACTGCCTAATTCTTTCTATAATATTTAACATTTGATAAATTTAAGCTTTTTTAGTAATAATAAGGTTCTTCATTGATAATGACCTAGAGGCTGAAAAAGTGAAGCTGGGAGGAAAGTGAATCAACTTGAAGTTTTGTTATCAGTAATTTTATTTCAAATTAAAATATCGATCCTAAAACTGCTTCCTAAAAAAGCCATACTATTCCTCACCTATATATATAACGCTGTACATCGAACCACATATTTCCCTGACTCTTGGAAACTATCCATTGTCAAAATGATACCTAAACCCACGAAGCCGCTAGAACACCCATCCTCTTACCGTCCTATTTCTCTCTTACCCATTATGGGCAAAATCCTAGAAAAACCCATCTTAAAACGCCTGTATCCTATCCTAGAGTCTAAACAAATTATCCCAGAACACCAATTTGGATTCCGCACATCCCACTCCACTATACAGCAATGCCATCGTGTGGTAGATGTAGTATCCTCTGCATTGGAGCGCGGAATGTACTGCACGGGAGTCTTTCTCGACGTTGAACAGGCGTTTGATAGAGTCTGGCATCCCGGACTGATGTACAAACTCCATAAATTCCTACCACCTACATACTTCCTCATTATCCGTTCCTACCTTGCTGACAGATTCTTCAAAGTCAATCATAATAATGCTTTTTCATCTCTTTTTTCTGAGTTTGCTGGTGTTCCTCAAGGTAGTATCCTAGGTCCCATCCTTTATACAGTTTATACAGCTGACATCCCAACCCATTCCAACACTGTCATCACCACATATGCCGATGACACATGTATCCTATAAGTCAATAACGATCCATCTATTGCATCCCAAACTCTTCAATCACACATCACAAGTCTTGAAAAATGGTGTCAAAACTGGAGGATTAAAATAAACTCCAATAAATCCCATCAAATTACCTTTACTCTTCGTCGTAAACCTATGACTTCCTGTCCTACAGTATCCTTTAACAATACCCCACTTATCCCTGTTGACCAAATCCGATACCTAGGACTCCACCTTGACAAACGACTCACTTGGAACCCCCATACCAGACTGAAACGATTAGAAACCGCCCGACGTTTCCGACTACTCCAGCACTTACTAGACAAACGCTCTAAACTGTCAACTATTTACAAAAGACTCATATATATTACTATAATAAGGCCTAGTTGGAATTACGGGATCGAGCTTTGGGGCTCTACTAAACCATCAAATTCCTCTCGTATCCAATCCCTACAATCCAAAATCCTTCGTAAAATCCTTAATGCTTCCTACTTTGTCACAAATAAAATCATCCATAATGACCTTAATGTACCATATGTTTCCGATTTAGCTCAATCCAGATACCTGTCCTTTCATAATAAACTTCTGAACCATCCGAACCTTCTCGTTTCCAACCTTGCTTCCTCTTCTATTCCTGGTAACCCTCCGAGGCGTCTAAAAAGAAGATGGCCTCGGGACCTTCTAATATAGAAATATAATTGGAGTGCTACCAATGGGTAGTTTCTCCTCATGTTGCACATGTCATGTTACTTGTTCATATTTACTTGTTGTATTTATTATTAATTACAGTTGTAAATTTCGTTAATAAAAAAAATAAAAAAATAAATTTAAAATATCACAATTTTTCATTTTTTTTATTTGCAGAATGTGAGCCTGGAACTAGCTGGAAAGAAGATTGTAATACTTGTTATTGTACACCTAATGGAGTTGCAGCTTGCACCCGCAGAATGTGCTTCCGTGTACCATCTAGAAAACAATAATTAACCCAAAGATGCTGAATTGACTAATAAAGAAAAAGTTTGCAAATCTAACTAAGAGAAGCCAAAAATTTAGCTTATCACAATATTTGAATCCTCTTACATAGTTTTTGGTGTGTTTTTTTTTAGTGCAACACATTTGATTTTTATCAAACAATGTAGCAGTATCAATCAGACAATATCTAAGAAACATAATTTCAAAAGACTGTTATTTCTATTAATACTATTATACTTTATACAAAAACATTGAGTGAAATAAACAAATTATTCGTTAGTTAAAAAACTAAGTAAATCTTTAGTTATATATCATTCATTATTTGAAATAAAGTTTACACTATACTAGTCCTGCTACTTTGAAGATAAAATAAAAAAGCGATGAATGCAATTTGTTCAATTACATACTTAATTCCAACACATTTGATCCAAAAGAAGCCGCTGAATGTGGGAAAATACTGCTGAAAAAAAAAGTATATACAGTGAGAAAAAAAAAGTCTACATACATACACCTGAATGCCAATGCATTAAGAAATAATTGAACAAAATGAAAACAATGTCAAAATTGAGTGCAAAAGCATGTTTTAAGTACATTTAGTAATAGCTCAACATTCATATTTTTAAAAAAATTACTTATCTATTTTAGGAAAACAGAAATAAACACAAAAGTCTACACCATACACTAGAATAATCACACAAAAATTAACAATAACTGAAAAAGTTAATGTTATGTTACTCGTCCCTTGCTATAATTACAGAAGTAATTATTCTAGGCATAGAACTTTACATTTTATCTAAGAAGAATAAATTACCGCCCCATCTGACTACACACTTCCGCAAACCATCACAGATCTATCCACATGATTTTTTGTTCGTAGAATATTTTTATTCTCCATAATTTATGAATATCATAACCAGACTTACCCTTTCCCACAAGTATAAATTTTTACATTTGTGAAATTTTTCAAATTATAATCACTTCTTCTCATTATTACATGAAAATAGTGGCCTCTTGCCACCAAGGAAAAACCTATGTCGTCTTAACATTCTTGTCGCTTTAATCTTTCTTATTGGAAGATATTGAGCCAAAGCCTTAACTTATTTGTTTTGTTTTTTTTGTGAATTACAACTGATTTTTTAAAATAAAGATTGCTTATGGAGGTCTGAAAGTTTTTGTGATCTACCGTTTCTTGATTTATTCGACAAACTTTTGTTTCAATTATAATGTCTCAACACTAGTAGGACTTATTTTTCAATTTCTTACCTGTTATAGGCATAGAAAGTGGTTTCGTCGTGAAATCGAATAATGGTTTCTCATCACTAGCGGATCCAGGATTTAATTTTGGGGAGGGGGCTTCAGCCCGAAAGGTTTTTTTTTCATATACATATAACGATACTTGATTTGAAAAAAAAAAAGAAATTAACTACCTATATGAAATGGTGTTTAAGTGGTTCTTGAAGTCCTATTAAATGTAATTAAACGAACAAGAATACTTTAAGAGATAGTTTTTAATATTTTTTCTGTAAAACATGATTATATTTTACCATTTTGGGGAGGGGGAGGGGCTTAAGCCCGAAAGCCCCGCCCGTAGATCCGGCTGTGTTTCTCATTCTACTTTAGCGATTTCTTGTCACTTCAAACCCATCTGAGAAAAAATTAATTTGTTGAGACATGACCTTATTAATAAGTAATTTCGTTTCAAACATTTAACCAACTTGGTTGGTCATGTCCAACATGGTTGGTTGGAGACAATCAAGTTGGTTAACACTGTAAATTATCTCGACCGGTTACTTGTCTGAACTTACTTTATTTGAGAAACGTAAAAGGGTTACGTTAGCTCACGGTACTAAATTGATCCAACATAATAATTTTTGAACAAACTAAATTAATGCTGCTTGTGGTCAGAAAACATACAGTGTATCTCGTCAGTTTGCTGTATTAGTGTTTTTGTGTCTGCTTTTCCTTTACTCTTTGTAATAGAAAAAATTTCAGGACGGACTGATAATCTTTCCCGATCGATTATAACCAAACAACGTAACTAAAATTTCTAGGGAACAACTTTGGTTGAAAAACACCGTATAACACGGCCTTAATTGAAAACTACAAGATAAATCTTAATATCTTTTATTTTAAAAATGCATTCTATATTATTTTTTATGATTATCATTCTTATCATTTGAATTTATTAATAATATTATAAGAGTGTATTGTATTACTTTTTTATACAGGAATTCTGAAAATTCTGTTGTGATGAACTTATGTGTTGAAGTTATTTATGTTTATTTGTCACCGTAATTATTTTATTAATTAACAAAGAAATATGTGTTTATGTAATATTGAAAATAAATGCATTATTAATATGAAATAGTTTAATTTTTTCTCCCTGGGAAATCAAGAAGAAATCGTTACCAAAGTCATCAAGTTCCTGGATAGTGAAAGACGTAAAAAACACATATGACAGGCTTTTTTTATTTATTTTTTTATTTATTAATTTTTTTTATCTATTTATTTTTATTATATTTTCTCCTATTATTGTTTATTTCTTTATTTTTTCACTTGATTTCATTTCATTTTAAATTCATTTGTTTATTAATCTCAATTCATTTATTGATTCTACTGCTATTTTTTAAAGTTTATTTATTTATAAATTTTTCATAAATCTTATTACCTATAAATGTCTATTATTATCCTTATTTATTTATTTTATTCTATCAATCCATTTCTTTGTTTATTTTATTTTTTATTTTCTTCTTATTATTTTTTTTTATTTATTTATTTTTTTTATTGTTTATTTTGTTTTTTGTACCAATGATCCAAATAGTATTAAATGATGTTATTTAGTTGATAGGGCGCTTATGACCTGGATGTTTTGCGGCTAGACATCGAAACAAACAAACAATATGAAATAGTAGGATTGTGCAAATTAATGAGTAATGACAAATAGAACTTGTACTTATGCACATCCACCAATTTTGTCATCCTCAAAGGAAGATACGTAGATGTTCCCACTTACGAATCCAGGATCTAATTTTGGGTGATTTCAGCCCGAATTTTTTTTTTTTTTTGTATGCATATATTAGGATAATTACTTCGGAAGAAAGAAAGCAACTAACTACCTATATGAAATGGTGTTTAAGTGATTCTTTAAGTCCTATTAAATGTAGTGTTGCCCAACTGCGAGACCGAGACGAGTCTTGCAAACTCAGTCTTGGTCATGGTCTTGTTCTTGCGCAAGAGTCTCGCAACAGGCTTGCAGTTACGTATTAGCTTATTACTATAAAGATATTACTGTAATTGTTTAGATATGAGAAACCTAACTAAGCCCGAATAAAAAAATAGAGGACTTAAATGCAAAAGTATGTTGGTTATACCAATTATTAACATATAGTCACTAGCGGATCCAAGATTTCATTTTAGGGGGCTTCAGCCCGAAAGGTTTTTTTTTTCATATATGTAACGATAACTACTCTAAAAAAAAAATAAAGATAGTAGCTGAATATATGAAATGGTGTTTATGTGATTTTTGAAGTCCTATTAAATGTAATTACACGAACAATAATACATTAAGAGATACTTTTTACCATAAAATATGGTTACATTTTACCTTTTTGGGGAGGGAGGGAGGGGAGCTTCAGCCCGAAAGCCTCCCTCCCCCACCCCCGTAGATCCGCCTATGCATACGGTAACTAAGATTGCCAAGTATTAGTAACTATTTTGCCTTAATTTTTATTAAATCGATTTTTTTTTATTAGTCCTGGTCTTGGTCTTGCAACAGTTAGGCGGCCTGGATCTTGGTCTTCCAAAGTGCAAGACCAAGACCTATTTTGGGCAACACTAATTAAATATAATTTGACTATCAATAATACTTTTAGAGATAATATTCTTCATAAAACATGGTTATATTTTACCATTTTGGGGAGGAGGCTTCAGCCCGAAAGCTCTTCTCCTCCCCCGTAGATCCGCCTAAGGATGTTCCTAGCAATGAAGTATGTTACTTGGTATCTTCAAAATATTAATTTGTTAAATAACCACTCCGTGGACACTTATTTAAATTTGGAAACCTTATTTCACTTCATTGCCATTTCAGATTGTCAGTAAGTTATGACCAATCAACATTGGAGTTAGGTTTCCGTGACTTTTACAGCTGAAAATCTTTTATAGTTCGTCACCTCTATAGGACATATTAGAGTATATTTTGTTCTGGATTAGTGAAGTTGAACAACTTTAACTAATTTTGATCTACCTACAATAACGCGTGCTCCGAGTCTAAAAGAAAGTAGGTGAATAAAATTTCAAACATGTTTATCGCATTAATAAAATAAAATTGATTTTAATTTCGATTAGTTATATTTATTAATAAAATATTTCTACAATGCCTATATATCTTTATATAGACCAGAATAATAATAATAATCCAATGTCACTATGTTCCACAGTTGGTAACACTGCACCAATACGATATAGATCTTTATTGTGAACTGTTTACCAGTTATTAAATATATATATACATACTTTAAAATTTTCGAAGTAGTTATTTGAAAACGAATATTCTTTTCAGTTTCACTAATTTTTTTTACATCTTCATTTACTTTTGAGACTTAGAACTTAATAGTGATTATAAGCCTGATAAAATAATTTGAAACATATAAAGTGTATCATTATAAGAATCTATCTTTATTAAGAAGTGTTTTAGTTAATTTCTTTTTTTTTTTTTTGTTCTTTTAATAAATGAGAAGAGATAATTCTTATAAATGTGCTTAAAAACATCTTAAGCGTCCCCATCTAAAGATATAAAACCTCTGAGAAAGATTGTAATGACAACAATAAATAATGATAAACAGTATTCAGTTAATGCAATAGCATAATAATGGAGGATGTTATCAAGAGAAAACAGAATCAATCGGTTAACAGAAAGCATGTGACAATAAAAATAGATAATGTCACTGAGGAAAGGTATTATGAGAGAAGAATAAACAATTTTAAGTTTATATAAAAAAGTTGTTCCATTTATTTGCTATTTTTTCAGCCAAATTATTTCAAATATTCAGAAAATAATTTTTAATATTGTTAAAACTATATCGGAAGGTAAGGTGCCATCCATACTTATTAGAAATCAACGATTGTGGAATAACTGCAATGTTAATGATGACAGGTGAATAATATATGATTTTTTTAATTTTTTTATTTATAATCGCCTCTACCCTAGAGGGTAATTAAGTAATTTTATATTGTTACTTATACTTGTGATATATCTTTCCATTTTATTCCTAATTAATACTATATAAATATTGTGTACCACTGTTTGTTTTGTTTTTTGTGACTATTTTTTCTTTTTTATTCAGATTAGAGCTTAAAGATCTTGATGATGCTGTATCTTTGGAAATAAAATATGATCAGAAGCTATCCAAAGATTTTACACACATTGTTTACCTACTAGGAAGAGTGTATAAATTGCTTATGACCAAGTCCATCTGCACAAAAAGGTAACTATTCAATAATTAGGAAAATGATATCATGTGCATGAAAATCAAGTGGCAAATGCTACAGACCTTGCCCCAAGGCAATAGCAGATCCAAGATTTAGTTTTGGGGGGCTTCAGCCCAAAAGACATTTTTTAAAAACATATATTAGAAAAAGAAAGAAACTAACTACCTATATGAAATAGAGTTTAAGTGATTTTTTAAGTGCGGTTAAATGTAATTATACAAACAATAATACTTTTAGAGGTAATTATCAAATATTTTTTTCATAAGATATGGTTATATTTTACCATTTGGGAGGGAAGCTTCAGCCCGAAAGCTTCTCCCCTCCGTAGATCCGCTTATGCACCAAGGAAAGCCTTTAATTAAAGATAAGATTTTCATTTCTTTTAATTAATTTTTTTTTATAACTAAGTAAAGAATACTTATAAAAGCTTGGCAATTTGATTTGTATTCAATATTTTAATCAATTTTTATACATCTAATATTTTTTGCAAATGTTGTGTCTTCTCCCTGCCTTTCCATATTTAATATGAGTAATTTTTTTTATTTTGTTAGTAAATATTAATTTTTATTCATGTATTATAATATATTATAAAGACTATTGTACTATCTATATTATTTGATTAATTAATTTGTATCCTGGGTATACTTTAGGTAAAAACTATAATAAGGCTAGTTAATAACATTAAAAAGCTACAGACAATTATCAATAAGGCAGTCATAGTAATAAGCAACATAAATAATAATATCATAAAAATCTATACAAGTTGCATTACCAAGAATATTTTTAAATTGAGAACTCAGATCTCTGTAGGAATCCAGAGATAATATGGTAAAATGTTATTGAAACTTGAGTAATTGATTACTGCATCCTGAAGAATTGCATTGAAGAGGTGTTAGGTCATTTAAAAATTATTTAAATACCTGGAGAAGACAAAATAATGGTAGAACTTATAAAGTAATAAAGAAAAATACCTAGCAATCACTGATCCAATTAGGCAGGAATATGAACATTGTGATGAAATGCTAAAAAATTTGTGAAACGAGAACAGTATAGACACTGCAATAATAGTTATAAAATCCTCTTTTGCGGTGGCCAAATTAATGATATTTGTTAACAACCTAACACTCATATTAATCATTAAACCTTAAGAATAATTTCTGAACTTAAATCCCTAATGGGGACAAAAACTATACGATTCTAAATAGCCAAGTGTACTAATGAAATAAAAAATAACCGTGCAGGCCTTAAATAATATATAAATAATGCAAATAACTCTTGATAGAAAGGTTCCAGAATATTTAAATGGATTTCTATTTCAGGCACATTTTGATGTTTGATTTCATCTGTAAGGAGTTTATTTGTATCCAAAAATAAATAAAATAGCTAGTAAAAGTAGAAGAAAGATAAATTAAAGGGTTTAAGGATAGAATTAAAATATTTTTTTAATTTGTTTAAAATACTTTTTAGATAGATAAGTATCTATCTACACGTGTAGTACACTAAAACACTTTTTTCCTAATTACTAAAAATCATACTAAAGCTGCATTAAATATTTTTTCAGGGAATTATATTATGAAAACACTAGCCTTTTTGAAGATCAATCTCAGCTGGATGCAGTGGCCGATAAGGTTTGCTGCCTCCTTGATGTAGCAAGGTGGGATGTCGGTTTGTCTGCCTCATCAAAGGGCCTTGTGGCTGGCAATTTATTTATTACTACCCCTTCTGGTGATATTATCGACTGCTCTTCTTCAGATGGTTTGTATTCAAGAAAGATTTGATTTATTGCGATGCTTCATTTCATTTAATTCAGATTTTATTTCAAACAGGAGTTTCGGTTCCTCAATTCATATCATCTGGCATTCACTTACAATCTGATGCCAAATTTGTGCTGGTTGTCGAAAAAGATTCAGCTTTTCAAAAACTACTTGAGGAAGATTTTTTAAAGCGTCATAAACCGTGTATAATGGTGACTGTAAGTATGTTTTGTTTTGTTCTTTTAAGTCTCAATATTTACAAAATATTAACACTGTCATCACCTACAGAAAAGAAGAAATATTCCTGCATTTATCACCAAAAATATTATTTTGATAATATTAGATAAGCCGGAAATCTTATTATCTTATGGCATTGTTGTCTTGTTTATATTAAAAATATCTTCAATATCAAAACTTGGTAAATGTTGATATTTCAAATATTACCAAAGATAATTTCAGCATAATCTCCTTAATAATACAGCATAATTCTCTTAGAATTCACTACCTATTTCATATTTCAACTTCTGCAACCATGTACGAACTTTTACTTTCTGTTATTAAAAGTGCTTATTAACAGTTAGTTGGCAAGTGACAATATTTTGTATTTCTTCATCCCAGACTAATGTTCATAATTTCTGAACTCTGTTATTTTTCTTAGGGGATTTCTAGTTCCCCAAATAAAATAAAAAAATATATTATATTACAAGTAATTTTAATATTTAGGGAAAAGGATTTCCAGATTTATACACAAGACTACTGGTAAAGTTTATTTGGGAACAATTGAAGCTGCCAATCTATGCTCTTGTAGATGCCGATGTATATGGAATCGATATTATGTGTGTTTATAGGTTTGGTTCTCTGGTGAGTGTTAGAAATTATTTTTATTAATTAGTAGTAGCTATTTAAAATGAATAACCAACATGTTAGCCTATAGAAATGAAAGGCCCACTGTAAACTTTCAGGTTACGTTCTAGTACATGTTAATTTTTAATTACTATTTATCTCATCACTTTATATCTTAAAATAAGTTGACCTGTCTTAATAAAGTCACTCTTGGCCAATAATTTTTTTTTTAATTTTAACATTATTTAAAAATTAAATAATAAAAAAATTCTTAAAAGATTTTTAATGGATTTCTACAAAAATTCGCCTTTATAAAAATGTATCGTTCCTTTTGATACTATTATTGATTCATATCATAATATCGCATATCTTTTTGTTAATTGTTTTGCAGATGAAATTGGTGACTTTAGGTAATTCAAAAAAATATATTTGTAACAATTACTAATGAATTTCTAAAAATATTATATATTTTAAAACTAACAATTTTACAATTACTAATATGAATCAATGTTCTGATAGAAACAGTCTCATATTGGAGAAAGATTAGCCGTTCCTGCTTTAAAATGGTTGGGTGTTCATCCATCCGACATAACGGAGCTGAACATCAATAGCAATCCACTGTCTGATTCTGACAAGAGGAGGAGTGAGCATTTGATATCAAGGCCTTACTTCTCTGAGGGCAGTCTTATTAGAAAGGAGGTAAATCATTTTAATATTATTGATTACTCAAAGGCCGCTAATTTAACAAGCACGGAAAATTTTCCAATAACATCTCAATACTCAGCCACAATCGATCCACATAGTACAAATATATATCATACGGATGTAATCTATATTTGTCTAGCTCTCTTAAGAATCATTGTGGGTAATATGATAATTACTAGTTTAAATCAATTCCAATCTGCTAAAGAGACAAGTTGTTATTTTTAAAATTAATTAACTATATCGTTCCTCAATAGGGATACCCAGAATGATAAATGATGATGACATTGCCCCTGAGCCCAAGATGATAAAATATCATTAACTTAATTCCTAATGCAACTTAATTAAGGTATTTAAACTTTTGAAGATGTAAAACTATTTCACAGTTTAACAATTTTACCTTTCAATTTTAGAATCAAATAATACTCAGTTAATTTATAATGTAATAAAACTGGAAGAAACAGGAAAAGACAAATAATAACTTGTTTAAAAACATTCAAACTAACATATAATTTTCGTTTCAGCGATATCTTAATTTTTTAATTTTAAATATTAAAATTAAACAATCTATTTAATCAATTCCTTACACTTCATTTGAATTTATCAATTTAGTGATTTTTTTAAAAACAATTTATGTTACAGCTGAAAACACTTTTGGAGATTGGTAAGAAGAGTGAAATAGAAGATATTGCAAAAATTTCCAATGGATATCTCACTGATGTTTATGTACCAATGAAAATATCTTCGCACCAGATAATATAATGATTTGTTTGATACAAGTTTTATTTTTCTTGTCATTAAATTTCAATAATTTATAAGTTTCAAATCTATTACTACCTTTTTTTGAACAAACAATTATGGGCTAATAAAAAAAAAATCTCAATTTCAAGATGAATAACTAAACAAAAATAAGCTTAATTTAAATTCTATTTGTTATTCACCTTCTTTTTCATCATTGTAATACTTCAAGATAGTACCTCCATCATCAGAAATATTTGTCTGCGATTAAAAATCAGTTAATATTGTGTTAAGAGTAATACCTATGCACATTATAGAAGAATTTAGTGAAATTTAATCATCATGGTGAATAATGGTTCAGATTTATACACTAATATAGGTTTTACAACGAAAATAAGCAGTTGCCCCATGTTTTCATTTACAACACTATTTCCAATCACTTTGTACACTCTCTCACCTCCCGTGAGCCTGCCCATCCCTTCACTAAAACTCAATTTAACTAACACCTTAAAAGTCTGTTAAATTCTAAACTTATGAATTATCCAACTTACAGGAACTTGATTTCCTATAATTCCGTTACTCCTCTCTGTCTTAACACTTATAATATCAATTCGCACTCAGTCAAACTTCCTACTACCTTCGTGACAAATTCTTATTCACAACAATCCATCTTGGCCATATAGCCTTAAAGGCGAGGAAGGGAATAACAAAAAAAAATGCTATACATTTTTCAAGCATGGGAAGATTTATTGCCGGATATACCTTATCTTCAATCTAGCAAGCCACACTATTTCCTAACTTTTATATTACAACAAGATTGAACACAACTTTAAAGTTGGTATTTTGTTTAAAACAATCAACTTTGCTATAGATACCTACAATATTTATAAAAAAATAAATTGAGCCAAAGAAAACAATATTTTTGAAATATATATTTATATACACAGTTGACTCTAGATAATTTGAAATCCAAGGGACTATAAGAATATTCGAATTATTGAGACTTCCAAATATCAAGCTGAAAAAAAATTCTAATTATTAAGAGTTTTTATTATATTTTTGAAAATATGGTATGAGCATTAAATTTGATTTATTTAAAAATACATAAATTTTATATATAAATAGCATCACATAAAAAAATATTAGTAAGAAATTTTCGAATTATTAAGAGAGGAAGTGGTCTAGTTCGAATTATAGTACGTTCTCTCCATGATGTTCTCTTGTAACGAAAAGGATTTTGAGTTATCGAGCTAACAAAATACAGAATTTCTTTGATTTACCATAGTTAGCAGCTGAAGAATTTGAACTGTCGAAAAATTCAAATTATCGAGAGTTAACTATAGGGGCATCTTTTTACTCCTGGGTAGAAGGTACAATTGAATCATGAGGTATGATTAATGATTATAATAGGAATAGTGGTAGAATAAGGATATCAAAGTAAAATATATATATGTTTTTTTAATTAAAACTTTAATATTAATATATCAACTAATTATATCATAACATACTATTCTAATAGCTTTATTAAATTATACTAATTTTATTCAAAGTAATTAAAAGGAAAACAAACTGTTAAGATGAATAAAAATTAATTCAATAGACTTATAGAAAATAATACTGTGTAGATAAGGAAACATAAATTCATATAAAAATTATTAAGTAAATAAGTTGAAATTTTCACAAAATTACAGTTACACTGTTCAAGAGGTTAAATATCCATTCATAGGCAGTCTTGTGCGGAAGAAATTTTCTTTTTTCTAAGGAAAAAAAAAATTGTTAGAAGACAAAGTAATCATAAATTTGTTTAAGTTATCAATATTACTGATTTATACATTTGAATAGCTAAGCTAAACCAATACTGACTACGTAACCTAGATTCATGAAAATAATTAAAAGTGCCTACTTCTCATTAATCTCAGTCGTTTTAATAAATATAATCTTATAAAAACGAATTTGTATTAAAACAAATTACCCAATCTCACCATGTATGGTTAATATACCATAATATCTTGGTTATGCTCGATTAAGATATTAAGGACCATTTCTACAAGTACGTTAATTATTAACAGTTTATGTAAAATGGATCCGATCTGATCAATTTTCCATCAATATGAGGACCAATAAAACCACATTATTTAATAGTTTATTGACTTTGAAGATTTATGTATTGATTAATCATATGTTTGATATGTTCAGGTTTTTGGTCTATTCCCAAACTTTTGAAGAAAAATCATAGATCTGCTGCAGAAGATATATGTTTCATTTTGATGTTCTATGAATAATATTTTCATAGAATATTCTATAATTTTTCCATTCAACGACTGCTTTCAAAATGTTATTGCTTGACATGTTAAGCAATGCTAAATTATTTTTAGTGCCTCAGGTTTAGTTTGTTCATCCAAGATTCCTTCCATATGATATTTTTATTAATTTTTTTTTATCAAAGTGAATGACAAGGTACAATAACTAACCCAGCTAGAATAAAGAAGAGAAAAATATATTGTAATAATAATTAATATTAAAAATAGATCAATACTGTTATAAACATCATAATTATAAAATAACTGTACCTTATTTTCAAGTTAAAACCAATAAGTAATCTTCATACTGCCTGAAGAGTCGAGAGGAGTTTCAAGGATGGATGCCTGCCTTACAAGGCGAGGTTTAACATTCGTAGTAGGAAGTTCAGGAACTGTATCCATTTCTACATTATCCAAATCTTCATATGAACTAGAATTGCTAATTCTGCAATAAAATAAATGTATTTGAGAAATACTATAATTAATATTGCTATTAATATTTTTAAGATAGAAGAAAGTAATGAACCAAATTGTATTATCAATAGTTTTGAACACATTAACAAACTGGGAAGTGCCATCTATTTTTGTCAACTGTATTTCTCTGTTTAAAATATCAATCAACCTAATATCAATTGTGACCAATTAGTAAATAATTTTATATCAAATTAATTTTGTCACTTTATAGATTCTGAGGTAAACCAAAGTTGAAACCAGAGTAAATTTATTGATTCCAAAAGCTACTCATAAATTACCTTGGTTGTGGCGTACACTGAAAACAGTCTTGCATACTCCATTCTTTACCAAATTCTTCTCCTTCTTCCACAGTTTGAGGCAGGCTGGAGTTGAGGGTCTCCGGTAATCTCAAACTGCTGAGCCCACCGATGATTGATATCACACCAAGAATCGCCAAAGGTAGAGCCAATAGCTCACGCCCCTAATTTAATTTTTTATCAAGTCAATAGTATTGAATTCTTATATGCTAAGGAAATTTATACTGTGAAAAACTATATTTTGTTTTACCTTTTCTAATATCTATTACAAGAAACAAATATATATTTATATCTATAAAGGAAAACATATACTCTATCAATAAAATAAATGTCATCAATACCGTTGTAATAAAGAAACAGAGGAAATGTGGATCGGAAATTATAATGAAGTGCTAGACAATTTTCAAGAGACATAGATGGATATCCTCAACTCTTGATGCCTTCCACTTGAGCTAGAAAAACTAAAGTGAGTTCCAGCACTTATCAAAACTCACTCAAACCATGAAGAGTGATGCTACCCCAAAGAAGGAGGACTTTTTTTAATAGCAGAATGGTTAAACCTGAAAACATTTAATGAAGTCTGAGAGTACAGGGTTGAATGGAAATCCATACAACCTTAATATAGCAATTGGAGCTTACCCAAACTGCTTTTGGGACTTCAAAAAACATTTAATACTGTCTTTGGAGAGTAAGATTCAACACAAAGATACCAGTAAAGTTAATAAGCACTTGGAGAGAATAATCAACAATAGACTTGAGAATTATTCTGAGGATGGAGTTGTATTTAAAACAGTGGATTAAAATAGTCATAACAGAGCTCACAGAAGAAAGTAATACAGATGATACAAAAGTGTTATAACGCAGAGAAATATCATTTACAGAGGAGAATGGGCTCATAGATGTAATATCAGCCAAAGCGTTCTTGAGAGAGAGAAAACAAAGAGAAATATTCTACTAAGACATATAGTGCCAGCCTTGGAGCAGAGCGACACAGGCATATGCCAAAATATGTCGATCTTGAGAGGTGGCTGCCGCTTCTTGGCAATTATAGAAGTATGAGTTAAATTAATTTTAGCTTATTAATAGAATTAGAAGTATGTCAAATGAAACATTAAGTAATATAAAACAACTTAAGATATAAATTAATTTTTTTTGGGGAAGGAGTTGTAATTGCCCGGGCCACCAATTTCCTAAATTTGGCACTGAATACATACAAATAATAATTGGAGCTAGTGTTTCTAAACATAAAAGTATCTTTTTAGAATCTTTAGAGAATCTTATTTGACCAGCAAAAACAGGAGTCACTGAAAACATTTATAGCATATTTTGCTCCAAGTAACCTTCATGGGAAATAAATTTGTATCATATCCCCACTAAAGTTTTGTGGAATGATGAAAAAATAGTTCACTGCTACCATCTTTATCAAAGTTAAATGAATAAAGAAAAAAAGAGTCCAAAGAAGAAGTAAAGATGCAGTAGGAAGGCGGAGTCCTCCAAAAGATGGGCTGTAAGCTGTTCACTGATATTTTTATAATAATCACGCTAAGTCTCTAATGCACTCAAATTTATTATTGAAGCTTATGAATTCATAGACAAATTTCTTCATTTCAAATTGATTCTTAATTTTATTTACATTAAATATAATAGAAAAAAAAAAATGAAAGCTCACCAAATAGTTTACAAATGGTATAATGATGAGTCCTAATCCTGCAATGTAAGCTGATAAACCAATGCCAAGCCCTCGAACTTCAGTAGGATATAGCTCACCAGCAAACGGATAAATGATGAGGAATGATGCAGAAATACTAGCCTTTGAAACTAGGTATAATATGAGTGTAAGCATAACTGCATCTGTAACAGTTTGATGGTGAACAATGAAATAAAATAAAACATTTAGAACTAATTAAAAAAGTTAATAATTAATCATTATAATGTGTAATAATAATGGAATTAAACACAGACCTTAAAACAGTTAATAAATTTAATATATGTTCGAGGCTATTATTTCTCTTTTTCTTTTCACGATAAAATAAAATCATGGGCGTAGCAAATGGTGTTGGTACCACACTTAGTGGATACAACCATAGAAGGAGCTACTTCAAGGAAATATTTTCCCATCTTCCGAACCTGCTAGGAAGCAAAATAGATTTCCCGCACTACTGCATAGCGGGGTTTCTGTGCTTATAATTCTGTAAATAGATTTCTGCTGTAAAGTCTCAGAAATAATTATAACAATAGATACTTTTTATATAATAATTTTTGATTCATAATTAATATTTTCGGGTCAAGAAAATCATTAAAACATTCATCAACAAAATTAGAAATGGCTAACTTTTCAACTCCAATTAAAAACAAGATTCAGCTGCCTATATCCCAATGCCACTAGTTTTTGCTAGTGATTTACTATTTATTGTTATGATACATTAATAATATTAATTATCATACAGTCAGAATCGGTCATGGTAAAGTTAGTGTTGGTGGAAATCTGTGGAAGGAATTATCTACATTTACTGGAGTTTTTTTTCACTTTCACTTACCTACTTATTTATGAAATATATATTAAGGGACAGTATTGCAATTGTGAAAATTTTGGAATCTGAGTTTTCAACGGAAATACATGAGATGTTACAGCAACTTTTTTGTCAAAATCGGCTAACCGGAAATAGCACTTTATATAATTGATGTTACATATTTTTACAATTTTTTCAAAAAAAGCTATAACAATTTTGATCAAACTCGATATATCAGTGCATTATTAAATTTTTTTTAATACCAGATAGGTGTTATCCACATTAATGTCTTTTTATATACCTTGAATGTCCAATATTCATATACGTCTTCCTCTAAAGTACCTTTAATTTGGTTTATTTTAAAAAATGAACTCTCTTATTCACAGTAACTATAAAAAATTGCTAAATATAAAGTATGAAAAAATTTGATAATTGGAAACTGGAGAAAAAAGGGAAATTTTTATTTAGGTCGAAAATAAATCTCCGGAAATACTAGTTAGAAGGTATAGGTATAATATATCGTTGGAATGTAGAGAATTGTAGAAAAAACAATGTCTAATATAGAAAGTAGTAGAAGGTAATGGAGAGGGATAAAATGTAATAGTTTGTGAAAACTAACATTATTTAACGGAAATCACATGTTTCTAAAGAAAATTAAATGAAATTTACTTACTGAATGTAAAATTTTAATTTTTTTTGGAAGTTTAAAAAAGTATTTAAAATCCATCAAATCAAGCCAATGACATTGTGTGAAAACTATTTCATTGAACTTATGTGAAATAAGAAGTGAAATATAAATATACTTCATATTATAGATGTGTAAAACATATGCTTAGAACCTTAATTAAATATATTTACTGTAGTCATATTAAATATATTATTTAATAACTGAAGATCTGACATAACATTTAAATGATCAGGTATACATCGTAGATTTATTTTTTAAAAATTTCCCAAAAATATTTGTGAAATCACATTATAAACTTACACTTAGTGTGACGACTGTTGACCTATCAATGCTATAGTTAAAAGCAAGTAACTGTATTTTGGTATGTTTTCCAAGGATAAAAAATAAGAATTTAAATTCAAGTAAAAAGTGATAACTGATTGAGTAACTATAATTTTTACTATGTAGTACGATCCTTACTTATTCATAATTAAATATATACACTTTCAAATGTCTCTTAATCTATAGAGCTCAGAGACTACAGTTATGTGATTCAAATAGACTGATGATGTTACATCTAAGTCTTTTATAGGCTACAATCAATATTATAAATAGTGTTTATGTTATTTGGTGGTCTTTGTTTTGATTTTGAGTTTTTGTTTTGATGAACATGATCAAAATCCAAAAAAATGTTGTTTAAAGTTTAGCTGCATTAAAGATGCATTTCAAAAACTTCTTGTAATAGCCCAATTTCGCCAGACAAGAATTTCTTTTCCAAGAAGAACGGTAAGTGGAAGTTAAGTGATGCATGCACCACATTTTTTTTTTCTTGTGTAAGAGAAGTGGATGCCTTGTCTGCCACTCTCTTTAATCCGTCCTTCGGTAATAAAAAATTTGAATAGTTCAGGAAATATATTGCATTCATAACATGTGCTTATGCGGATGACATCTGCTTCATTTTTAGGAATATTTTATTGCTTAAACAGTTTTATTTTAATGAATGATGAAATTAAAATAAAGAGCTCGGTATTATTGAGAAAAAAAAATCAAATATATGCATATTGGTTCAGGCTATTGTAATACTAGAATAGACTGCTATGTATTCCTTTGAAGAAGTAAAACGCTTCATTTATTTAGGCGCAGAGTTGAATGTTGACAACAATTTGATTAATAAAGTGAATAGAGCATATTTTGCAAATAGGCATGTAATTCTTAAAAAATACAATTTTGGCGAAATATACCAATTAATTCAACAAACGATGTGGAAATCTGGATTCTCACTCATATAGTGACAAACTATCTCAAAATATTTGAGCAAAAGGTTTGAATAAAATGGTTGTGTTTGATAACAAACCCTTGGAGGAATTAGACTAAAGCGAAACTGTATTCATTATATCAGCATGTTCATGGGGTCCACTTTTTTGAGACAATTAGAAGAGGCTAGTTATGCCATTTAACAAGAATTCCTGATAGTATAACATGCCAAACAAGTTCTTGCATGGCCTTAGAATCGGCCAAAGGGCTGACCGACCACGGAGATGAAGGATCAAGGTATCAAAGATTTAGAAGCATTATGTATCACTGGATACATACAGAAGATGAGAAATTAATAGGAATGATTCAACATTGTTAAGGAAGCCAAGGGCATGCCGGCCGGCAGAGTAGTGAGTGCTAAATAATAAATAAATATAGGTGCACAAAAATTTTCAACTACTGAAATAATAATTCACTATAATGATCCAAAAGCTCACCTACCCTGTGGCAGTAGAACAGTGACAAGAGAAGCCACTCCAGATAAACACATAGTGAGAGAAAGAGGCCATCTTCTTCCACAGCGATCCATGAGTAACCAACAAATCAGGTAGGATGGGACTTCAACCAAACAAGACAGCAGGAAGCTGAGGTACTGATCATCACCAAGTGCAGGGCCATAATAGCTTAATCCTACGTATACCATTTCATTTGCAAACCTAAAAAGTTAATCATAATCATCATTACAACATAGAAACTCAATCTAACCAACGATATTCAAAGCTATTAAAAATGGACTTTTAATGATCCCATCCTGTTTAGAATTTAGTAATTTATAAACAATTAATATTATGCTACTCATTTATGCAATATTTAGGTCAAGGCATGATATATTGTAATATACACCTTTATTGGAAGTTGGTAAAAATTATTTAATAAATTAATGTAACAGTTAAAAAGCAAGCTAATCTAGTTCTAGTAGTGCAGAAAAAAGAAAATGGCTGCTCTGCACTTTCCCAAGAAGGAAAATCCCAAAGAGGAGAGGGACAAAGGTTTTTGTTTTGGCAAGCAGTTGGTGTGTGGCTGCAGTGAAGAAAGGTTAAGAGAAGATATCCTATCCTGGCTCCAGTGGGTAAAATCCAGTAATAGTTTTACCATCTTAGCAGATCTTGTTTGGCAGAGAGAATAGTTGTTTGGAATTACAAGAGAGAGGATTTCCCAGGGAGTTTGAGTTGAGTAGAAGAATAGTGTTACCATTTTGGGATATGTGTTTGGCAGAACATAAGAAAATGTGTGAAGACAAATGAATTCAGTGCCACAAAGGAAGAACTTGATTGTAACTTTCTGAAAACAAAAAACGTATACCAGTTGAGTGTTATAAGCGTGGTCTTGAGCCTCATATTGGGTGTTCGACATAGAGAGCTCACTCCAGGTCCCTTCTTAAGCTTCTGTTCCTCACTTAGTGTCCTCTGGAGCATCATGCGACACTAAAAGAAAACATTTCATTAATGGTAGGATAGACCAGTCATTAGAATCATGACCAGCCTTATGGCAGAATAACCCAGGCAATTGTCCGGGGGGGCCAGCATAGAGGGGAGCGCCCGCCACTTGTTGAGAATATAAAAAAATGACAAAGCGTATCAGAATGATTAATTATAGCCTATTAATAAAGCAGCCCAATTAGAGATATATTGAATTAAATGTAATTCAAATATTATTTAATATATAACATCTTCACAAATAGTTTTAAATTTGTTGAAAATGGCATCATTGTCCGGATGAGTCAAATGCCTAAGATCAGCACTGATTAGAATATCTTCGAATTTTTGCTTTCACTTACCCATATACGTAATATATAGTAAGGGAAAGTATTGCTATCATGAAAATTTTCGAATCTGGGTTTTCAATGGAAATATACGTTTTGAGGTCCCTTAAGTCCAAATAACCAAGTCCCGCAAAATGGTCTGTGTCTGTTTGTATGTTATCAGTCTAGCTCAAAAATGAAAAGTCGTATGGTCGTACATATGTTTATTACCTTAAATACATTAATTGTAGTTTAATAATTCTAGATCTGATATTAAATTTAAATAATTAGATATCAACGTCCGTTTATTCCAAAAAATGGTCATGTAACCTTTTAGAAAATTAGATTAGTGAATAATTTGATGAATTTTCCCTTTGTGAAATCCCAACATTCTCCACTTAAAATTAGTGTCACAACTTTAGTAAACTTAACAATGGAAAATAACGTTTAATAACTAATAGGCGTACAATCCATAATCATTTATATATCATCATATATATATATTGATTTTAGTGAATATGGCGAACTGCTTAATAATATATATATTTTTTCAAAATTCTAAAAACTTACTTTAAGTTTATGTTTGAATGTTTCTGGCAGTGAATGACCATTAACTCTCGCAAGAGTTTCTAGGATGGCCAAAGCTTCGACCAACCTCCCCTTCGCCAGTAGCCATCTCGGAGACTCAGGTAGGAACCTACAACATTGAGCAGACTATTACAGCATAGATATTTTGAGGTGCATAACAGGCTAAACTTGGAACCATTGATAACATACCACCAGTACAGGTAATAGAGAAGGAACGGAAGGGAAGTGATGTAAGCCAGCAGCCGCCAATCGCGAATGAGGTAGGTGACGAGCGACAGCAAGACCAACCCCAAGGTGTAAGACAGGCAGGTGAGGACGGTGACGAAGGAACGGTAGTTTGGGCCCACCAGTTCCAGGGCTGAAAATCGTTTTCCTCTAGGAATGAATAAATAAATGGTGATTCACCAATTAGAGGTGATAACCGAAGTTATGGATGATAAACTAATTACGAGTACGAGTCCCGGTGCCGAAGGAACTTTTAACCCGCATCAATCCCTCGGCCTCATCCACTGGTAGGGGAAACCTCGTACAGAATAAAAGGCGAGGAAGGAGAGAACAAAAAAAAAAGATTCACTAATCATGTATTCACTCATTTTAATCTCTGCATTATGTATCATCATATTGTTATCAGCTATTCATTAATATCAAGTGTTTAGATTCAAATATCCTAGGACTAGCTGATTTGTTTTTTTGAATTTTTTTATTCCGCCCAAAGTTATGATTAGAGAACGAATTTCCATCTAATTGCACATTTTATTCGTTTGCGTGTAAGAACTTCAAACCCGATTGTCTATCCGTTTCACGAGCTGTAGAATAACATATTGAAATTTGATATTGTGTAATTAACATCTATAAACGTTCAAAATCAAAGATTTTATTTGATTTATAATATTTTACTGCACGATGTTACACATTTTGAGTTTTTGCTGTACGTTTTCAAATTTATATTGCACGAACAACCGCTCTGTAGTTATGACAGATAATTCCATTCCTTTCAGTCATATCGGTCTCCAAAATCCATCATTTCTTTATAATTTAAAACTATGTAAAAATTATTATTATATTTATAGATGCTTAATTGAGCTGTTTTTTGTACTGTGTGCAATAGTTATCGTTTGTCACATAAATAAATATCGAACCTATGTTGATTAAGTTCGTCTCTGTTTTGGTGTGGAAATGTAATACTTACAAATAATGAATGGTATTTGGTAAACCGCAGGAATCGTCAAACCAGCAATGAAACGAGCTACGGCCCAACTCCAGAAGTCCGTGGCCAAAGCAGTGAGCACGTTCCCTCCAATCAGAACGAACAAGCACAGGAAGAAAGACAGCCTCCTTCCCATCCTATAATAAAACATCAGCGAACTGTAGATCAATTCCAACTGTTTTAATTGTTTAATGAAATGACGCAGCTTGCGTCGTAGCAACCCTCTGTGGACACACTCCTGCCTACTTTGAAAACGTATCTAAAGCATGAATGTTACATAGGTTTAAAAAAAAAAATATTGGTTTGAGTAAACATTAACAAAACTTAAATTGATAAACCAATATATAGAGTCTGCACTTACAGCTTCGGGTTCATCCAAAAATTTCAAATTCAAAGATCGTGTAGAATACTTACAGGTATACAGCAGAGTAGATCTACAGCTGCAGAAGTGAGGTTTCTCCAAAAAATTGTGGAGAGAACAAGAAGAGATTGCGTCTTCAATGAGAGGAACTAGGTACTAGGAAACCACTAGGTGAATGAAGTTCTAGAGGCTGGTCAGTTGAAGTGGTTTGACCATGTATTTATGATGGAAGAACAAGCAGTGGCAATCCTTGTTAAGCGTTCTCTTAAGTTGATAGGCACAACAGAGTGACGCAAAAGAAGAAGGATCATGCAGGAAGAAATTTGCTTAGCAACTTATTGCTGCAATTGTTTTCTTCCATTTTAATTGTTTCTCTAAGGATTCTTTCATTATTTATTCTCAATTTTTTTTTAATTCTATACTCCATGCTCATATTTGTTTTATTATTGGATAATCTCCTACCCACCATTTCTGGCATAAGTGGGGGTTGTTCTAAAGGTACGAACAAAGCTATTTTAACTAAAGCACGACCTCAATTCATGCTTACCTGTCGTTAATAGTGCCAAAGATATAAACACCAAGTGGTCCACCAAGATTCAAACCGGCTAATCCAATAGTTGGGTAGATATCCTTGCCGCAGACTAGTTCAAACTGGAACAATAATAACGATATCCTTAGTTCTATAGAAACTATCTTTAACTAAGACATGTAACTATCAAGTGAGCACAAAGTTGTGACCATCTAGAAGATTTTTTTTCTAGAAAATTAATCTTTTTTTTAAGGACCAACGGAGAAAAAGAATGTACGACTAGATTTAGATATTTAGACTCCTAATGTTCATAACGAACTAGACTCCTAACGTTCATATGAAATGTACTGTTTTTGGGATCCCATATTCAAATTTATATATAAATAAAGAAACTCAATACATAGGTTTAATAAGATTGTTTTTTTGTTTTTTTTTTTGCGATAATGAGATAATCAATGCGTCTGAATCTCCGTTGTCTAACCTAAGATAGACCTGGGCACTCTTGAAATAGTTTATTTCTGAAATAAATCATATGATTATTCCAGGAATTAATTATTTCCGGAATAATGGTTATTTCTGGAATAATATTTCAAATTGTCAATGAAATAATCTCGATGAAATAACTACTGAATTTATTTCTGAAATAATTAGAATAGAATAGAATAGAATAGAAAAAAAAACTTTATTCTGGGACTAAGTCCCTTCAGAATAACAAAAATGTACAAAATAATAGAATATTACTGGCCTGAACGTTGAAACAATAAATAAAATTGATAAAATAAAATAAAAAGTAAAGAAAACCTTAGGTGCACAAGCTATATACAAACAGGTAAAACTATGTACAGAGCATTTAAAATTACGAACAAAACAATTAAAACTATGAACGAATCACTTGAACTATGAACAAAATTATATTTAAGGGTTGAACAACATAAACATACACTTTGAGAAATGAAGAACGAGAAAGAGATACAATGAGTTCATTTCATAAAAAAAAAAAAAGAAAACTTTACTTGAATATATATATAAAAATAAACAGTTACTTATAATTGAATAAAAAAAAAAAAAAATGTATGTATTGAAATTCCTACGTCGATAGTAGGAAATGCATGTACTATCTCTTACCAAGTGTTATGATTATGTGATTGCCACACAATACATATATAATATCAATATTTAGCTGGTATCAGACTGTTTTTGGAACAGGAATTGGAATAGGAGGTTTTTGAATGTATACAGGGAAGGGGCATGTCGAATTTTGATCGGGAGGGAATTCCAAAAGTTGACAGAGCGGGCTATAAAGGAATTTTGGAATGAGGCAGATCTATGAGAAGGGATGTATAGGTCAGAGGGTCGGGATCTTGTAGTGAGTGAATGGATTGAGGACTTAAATTGGAGAAGGTTGTAGGCATAAGAAGGACGATGATCGGTAATGATTTGATAAAGGAAAGTGCCAAGGAAATATTGTCTTCTTAAGGAGGGGAAGAGCCACCCTAACTCAGTGTAGTGGTGGGAGACACGGGAGCGTCTCGGGGTTCCAATTACAAATCTTACGAAGCAATTCATAAGTCTTTTGAGTCTATCACATAATTACTTCAATATTTTAACATTCATTGGAATAAGTAATTTATTTCGAAATGAGTTATTTCTGAAATAAATTATTTCATAATTATTATTTCAAAATTATTTCCTGTTTTCCTTATATTCCACTCCTATTTCAAAATTATTTATTTCATAAATAAATTATTGTAGAAAATCAAGAAATTAATATTTCAGAAATAACACTATTCTGAAATAACATAAAAAATTTACCCATATGCACTAGTTCGTATTCTGCGGTTGGGCAACCTTTAGACTTCTAATTTAATGCTGTGTGATACTATACATATTAATCTTTGTCAAGGATGAGTGAGCCCGAGAGCAATATCTTTTTTTCAAATGGCCCTTTTTAGTTTCCTGCGCTTAGGCGGGCTGTATTATTCATATTTACTAATGTTTCAGACATATTAATCTTTGTAGAGGCTGAGTGTACCCGACAGCTATTTTGTTTTTTCGGATGCCACTTTTCGTTTCCTGGGAATGGGCGGACTTAAGACTCCTTACTTAATACTGCTTGAGAGGTATTAATCTTAGTACTTTTTACCATAATGATTACTTTTCGGATTTAATCGATGACAGGGTCAACTGTTATGTTTTCGGAGATGCTTTGTATAAAAGTACTGTCGAATTTGCGATTGTGCCCCTCCCCCTCCCCCGATCGGCTTTTTAAAACTTTTCGGGTTTAATCTATATTAGAGTCGACTATTATGTTTTCGAAGGCGCTTTTTATGAAAATAATATCGAATTTACGATTGCGCACCCCTCCCCTCTTTTCCCACATCGCCTTTATGTAACTTTTCGGATTTAATCGGTATCCGGGTCGACTATTATGTTTTCGGGGAGCTTTTTTTGAAAATACCCTGATAACGATTAAATCCGAAAAGTTACAAAAAGTCGATGCGGTGGAAAAGGAGGGGTGCGCAATCGCAAATTCGACAGTATCTTTATAAAAAGCTTCTTTCCCCCCAAAAAACAACAACATAATAATCGACCCTAATATCTATTACTGGGTGGTAAGGTCCAATATGGACTTTTTCCTAATAAAAGTACTCAAATCATAAAAGTAATCGAGTACTGCCAATCTCTAGTATAGAGAATAAAAGGGAGCGTTAGCGAAAAGAAAATATTTAGAGAACAATACTGTTTTTATTTTGGTTATTTCAAGCCGTTTTGCAGCTTTAAGAATGATCATTTGAGAACACTATTTCGGAAATAATCATTTCAGAAATAATTATATCGTTATTCCTGAAATAATTTATTCCAGAAATAATCATTTCGGAAATAAATATTGAGATTTATTTAACGATTCATTCCAGGAATATTATTTCCAATAAATTCTGCCCAGGTCTAGTCTCAGAACTGAATCTATCTGTGATCTATTTAGAAATAGCCGGACTACTAATGTGACTAAGTCCTATCAGAAGGCGATTTGTTTAATTTACATAGTTTGACCAGATTGTACCTCGCATTGGTGATCTTACCATACTATATTTTTTTCATCTTTCTACTCTCCAAAAACAACAAAATGTTCTTGTTGTGAAATCAGAATCGCTGAAACTGAGTATGAATACATTTTTTAAAGGATTTATCTTTGTCAGTTTTCCATTTTTTTAGTTTTCGTGCCTCTACAGTTACAACTCCTTCAAATTGAGTTATAGGGTTAATAATTTGTATTTTAATTGAGTTGGTGATAGAAACATTCATCTCTGAGGCAGAGGTACCCATGCCTCCCAAGGTCGATGGCTCAAAAACCTCCCTTCTTTCCTCCGAAGATACTTTATTGCTCTCCTTTTCTTAAAAACAGTACAAGCTAAAGTAGAATTTAAAAAACACAGCCCATATACTATTACACTTTCAGTGTTCTGTTCTTTGCTTTCCTCTTGAGACGCAAATTCGTACTTTTTTTTTAATCACCTGACTTCGTTTATCTGGTTGCCGGGCAACTCGCGGTGCTTTGTATACGCGTTAGCCCATTTGGCCACCCCGCCCCCGTTATATTCAAACCTAATAGGCAATATAATATACTGGTGTTGGAATTGTATTACTTACATCCTTGACGATGGAAGACAAATTTTTATCTTCCTCAAACTCCCAGCCATCGGTGCAGGGTTCCACTGGCCACGCCGGGTCTGGATGATCCACAACACCCACTTCGCTCCAGTTAGCACGATATCTACTGCACTCTTCCCAACTGTTGTTCTGGCCAGCCTAAAAAGCAATAAGAGAGAGTATTACAATCTGATCTTTATGAACTATTTGATGTTTGAAGCATTCATGTTTCAATAAAAATAAATGTAACTTATTATAGTAGATGGTATTATAATATATTACCGAGGTTATTTAATTGATATAATCAACAAATAACTTCGATAAGGCCTCATTCAGAACCAAATGCAATTCAACTCCTCTTCTAACAGATACATGAGAAGTAAAGAATCACTTTCAACCATTATCATGTACCGTAAATCCCACAATTGTCTAGGCTATGCCACTTAGTAGAGAACTACAATGAAATTATAAGGCTGCTCAACTGAGATAAAGTTGTTAAATGACACAGTACACTGATCAATCTCATCGATATTGTTTAAGAATTGGTGGGAGTATCATTCTATATACCGAATATTGTGATTTTTGTTTCTTCCGGTCCCCATAATTCATAAGGCAATGGCCAGAATTGATATATGTGGTAATGCAGGATTCTCACAACGAGTCCAAAATAATAGTTTCCGCCATGCTTAGTAGCCAGGGCCTTCGCGTAGGTTTCAGGCGCCTAGGACACAATTTTACTTTGCGCTCTCTTTACTTCTAAATCTCCCAATGGCCTATTTTCTTATATTTGCGAGTTATACCCACGATATCAAGATATACTTTTGTATTTCTACTAATCGCCGAAGAATTGGTATATCTATATAATTTTGCAGCAACTGGAACTGAAGTTAGAAATAAAAATGTCTGCATAAGAACTTGTCGTCTATCAGTGCCCGGGGCGTAGGAGAACTACTTGTCGTGACCAAACGATTCTCTAGGTTTAATATTTATTTTCTTCTCCCAGACATTTTTCTGAGAGTTCAGAAAAAGTACAAGCAATAAGAATAAATTTGTAATGAAAAGAGGAGACAACAAAAAGCTATAGATTTTAATACATGTTATACATCGCAAATGTCTACAAAGAAAGGTGACATAAGGAAGGTATTCTGCTTCTTGTGTTGACTATAACGTGATTCTTTCTGTTAGGCTCCCACCGTACATACGTCACATCGTAAACCTTCTGCATGACCAATATCAGAAATTAGGAAACCAACATTTTCAAAACTTCCCAAAGCAATGGATTCAGTTAATTCTCAGGTTGGGTTAATTGTATTGAACGGTTGAAACCAGAATACACCCTTGATAATTCAGCTTTCCTGCTGTTGTGTTTAATGAATTGATAAATCCAAAGCGTTAGTGTCCTACGCGATCTTCTTGCCACAATGAGACGAACGTACCTTATTCTCAACATCGCCCTGAACTCAATATTTCCTACTAAACCGTTAATTAATGTAATTTCTAGCGAATCAAAAACGAAATTTTAATTGAAATATCGCAGTTTTTATGAATATTATATTTTCTCCGATCAGTGGCACCCACTGTTTACAGCTATTCTTTTCTTCATCCAGCTTTTTAAAAAAAAAAAATTTATTGAAAGAGGAATGATACTCATACATTGGAACGTCCCCGAGCCGAATATTGACCAAATTCCTTTCTAAATCTTCCTTTAGGTATTGAATTTATAGATTTTTTTATAGATTTCCTCCTATCCTTAATTGTAGTGTTGCCAAAAATTGGTCCGCTTTGATTATCGCAAGACCAAGACCAAGGCAGAATACAGTACACACACACAATCATAACTATAACTTTTGTTAAATAAAAATATGTCACTATTTAAAACTGATTGACTTATTAGCGATAGTAACGACCGATAGAAGTTGCCATCTGGTCCGACCAAATTGTTATTATTGTTTAAATAAACTCCTCTAAATTTGTGTTCTATTTTTTATTTCAATAAATGCTAACATTGTATTAAATGTCTTTATACCACAACCCTTACATTCCATCTAAGGTGAGGGTCTATCACTATCTATCTTGACAATGCCTTTAAAGTATATATATTCAAGTGAATTTGGTAGAGCTTTGCTATGTCTAGGTCAAAAGATAGGCTCCAATGTATCTATTCTTTAGTGTTGATCTAAGTCATAAATTAACGTGTTTAATAAATAGCAATGGGCTAATAGGTAATTGCAAGATTTGCGAGACTCTTGCTGCAAGACCAAGACCAAGACTAAATGTGCAAGACCAAGACCAGATGTGAACAATGAAAGACCAAGACCAAGACTAGCCAAGTCTTGCGTTGGCCTTGCATTTGGGCAACACTACTTACTTGATCCTCATCGTTCGTTTAAAATCTTAATATGGATTCTACTATTTGAGCCTCTGTTTTTCACTAAAGGCTAAGAAATCCACCTACCTTGCTGAGTCTTCTGTATCTAGGTAATAAACTTCGAGGAAGCATCTGTACTTCTTTATCTCCAGGAATTCCGCCATTCGATGCTTTATATTATTGTGCCAGCGGGTGATCATGAACATGCTATTCGGACTTTTGCCCAATACATGAGCCGGGTTCCTGACTCATGCTCACATTTATGGAGAAGGGATCGGAGATATGTAAGAGCTTCTGCTTTTTTTTTTCTCGCCGTTTAGGCTATACGGGATTTTCCCGGGCCGGAGGGTGAGGGCGGGGAATTTAAAATCCCCTCTGGCACCGGGACGCGAACTCATACTTTTCTTGTCTCTCAAATCTTCATATATCTGGTTGCCGGGCAACTCGTGGTGCTTTAGCTTATTCGGCCACCCCGCCCCCAAGAGCTTCTGCTTATAACATCTATATGTTGCAGGATAAAATACATACAATTACATAATAAAAGGTAAATAAGTGTTAAAATACCTTCAGAGGAATGGCAAGATGGCGCCTAAGCTCAACCGTGAGGTGGCTCAACTGAGGTACACTACACCAGTGAGCCACCGGGTCAGCCATGAAGAGCTGGTTGAAGGCCGAGAAGCCGCACGGAATGCAAGCAGGAAGGCACACTAGCCAGATCAATAGCTTCTGATATTTTCCAAACTCACCAACCTCCGGCAGTAGATCATCCAAATCTACATTTTCCTGTATAATACATTTTCAATGCTATTTAGTTTGAGGTAGTGCGAAAATATTAAATAATAATTTAATTCAATAGTTTGATTAAGTTATACTTGACAGTTAATATAAATTACAACAACGTGAAATAGTAATTCAAAAGAAAACCCCAACAAATTATTACATAATAGTTTATTATTTCTTCGATTTCTTAGGTAACTTAAAGCAACAGTAATCAGTAATCAAAAACCAAGACAATGGAGATCAGCTGTGCAATAGACCATGTGATAAAGCTTCATAACGTGATATATCTGCACCAAATTGTCCTACTTCACAAAGGACTATTATTTTGTTCTTTAGGAAATTTTGTAAACTTTGAAATAAGCATGACCTACTAAGTTATCATTAGTACCACTGCCGATTAGAGGGTGCAAGTAACTTTGCAGTATACAATACCATCATATTTCGTAAGGAGCTGAGGACTTCCGCAAACAGATTAAGGAAGAAGGATCTTTCAGATACATTGACGTAACAAATTTAATAAATGGTAATAAAGAGTTAGGCAACATGATTGAGAAAGATTTGAAGATTCACACAATTGGGAGTACATAGTCCTGTCATAAATATTGTCACAAGGAAATTTACACAATTTATTTGAAAATAAAATGTATATCTATAGAGCGTAAAACAAAAAAGAAATTACTCAAAATGTTCCCTTTTTGCACAGGCCGTTAATCCCCGTGGCCACTCATCAATAGCAGCACGCCGCACTTCTTGAGGAAAGCGCTCAACTGCTCGGACCAGAGATTGTTCAAGGCTTTCCAAGGTAGGATGTGATCTGTGGCATACGTTTAGAGGCTTGACAACAGGTTCGAAAATATCGTCCTGATAGTTCTTATCGACTGTTTTAACTCATTTTTCAATTCAAAGTGGTGCCATCAAAGCAAACTCCCCACCAAACTATCACTGAGGAAGAGTGATGACCTCTTTCCTTCCACTCTTCAAATGACTCCTGGGGCTCTTTAGAGCTGTGTGTTCCATTGTAAACAGTTTCTCATCGCTAAACAAAATCTTTCGATGAAGACCATTAGTGTAACGGCCAAGGAGCACTTTGCATCTATCCACTCTATTTTTTTTAGGGAAGCGGTTAGCCTTTGTCCTGTCATTCTTCGAAATGCACCCATCCTAAGGTCACTTTTTACTATGCGAGACCTGACAGAGATTCCCATTTCCCGAGACATGATTTGTTCTTTTCGAATGGGATTTCTTCTGATTCGAGCAGCCACCGCTATCACTGCATTAGCCGTTCTAACAGTGCGGGGACGGTCCCGTGGAGGTCTGTCACACACAGATGGGATTTCATTATATCTATTTATAGTGCGGTACACGAACATACGGCTGATACCCAAATGTTTCAAAGTGTTGAAAATCTCTAACCTACACTTTCCAACTTTGTGTAATGCGGTCACAGATATTCCGTTTTCTTTATCACCCCGCTCCATGTTAACTGAGTGAAAGAAAAATACAAACTAATTGGGATTATTATCCTGACATGTAAAGAAAACAACCTGATAGAGGTAAGGATTATCTAAATTATACCCAAGGGTGTAAACAAAGTTCAACTTTTGTAACAGTATTTGTGGCAGAACCAGGTATAATAGAAAAACAACAATGCCAATGCAACCGATGCGAAGTGCATAAATGGAAATATTTGCTTACATAAACCATGATAAAGTACTGTTTGGGATATAGTCCTCGGTGCAGGCCCTTTTTATCAAGTTATTAACATTCGTCTTGAAATTCGCGAATGGCTCCATTTTATCGTAAACTACAACTTTCTTATCAACGAATCTTCCCAGTTCCAACTTCGTATTTTGAGGCGTGAGTTCCAAGCGTAAGTCTTTTAATTAAATGCAGCACACAAATTAGTGACTTTGGCACACATCAGTTTTCGAAAGGCAACTACGTAGACCGGCAGTTAACATGTTTTCTTTTTCAGGAGCACATATTACACTTGGAATTTTGCCGCTTTGATTTAAATTTTCTTCTATTAAGCAACGGCTTTCAAGCGACTGACCGGAGTTGTGAGTTCAGATGAGGATTATCTATAATTTAAAATGGTTTCTAGCTGTGAGTCCTTCCGTTTAATGAAACCGGCTGTAGCTCCTAATCTATATGTTCAATATTCACTTTTAGTTCGGTAAATAAAAACTTAAAATTTCTGATTTTTTAGTGTCGAGAGGTTTATTGATTATTATTTTTTTTAACACTACAGCAATGAAATTTAATTTATTGTGATATATTCCAGAAAATAATGCATCGTAGAAAATTTAAATAAAAAAATTCTAAGAATCATTTGTACTAATTATTTTAGTGTTAATGTTCCACAAATGGAACAATGGCAGATTCACGCTATAGAAATGTTCGTTCTATTCATTGTTTCCTACCTTGTGTTCTTGGTACAAAACTGAACACGGAAATTTATAGAGCTAATGATTGCTATTTTAAGATTTTCGATTTTTTAGTATAATTCCTTAGCGATAAAGAAAAACAGTGTAATTCTTTCTCTTTTTTTTTTTTTTTTTTTTTTACTGCATGACGTTTCTTACTCACATTTCGTAATGATTAGGTATTTTATTCGTGACATTTTTTTTTATAATCAATAATTAGAAATGGAAAAAATATTTTGTACTGTCGAAGAAGCAGTGGAATATTTGCATTATCTAAAATCGTTGAGTAATGGTGAATCGAGAAACAGATCTGATAAAGAAATTGATATATGCCAGCTTCCTCCTGATCAAAACGAACGCCTAACAGACGAAGAAGATATTGACGAGAATTATGTGGAGCAAGTCATTCTCGAGGATGTTTGTGGGCAAGCTGCAGTATTTATTTAAAAAATCTGATGCACGCAACACACAATTTACACTTATCGCTCGCACTACTTTGAATAGAAATTACTTTCTGGCAATGTTGGGCTATTATAAAATTTTTTAATTGCATTTTAAAAGCTTACAGATGACAAATCATTAAGAACATTAAAAATACATAAAGTCTATTTATTATATCGACGGTAGGCAATAAAAATCTAGTCACTCCATCTACTTTTATAAAGCACACAACTTCAGTCTCTGAGTCTTTCAGTTGACAGAATGACTAACTAAAATTTCAACATTTTTGAGTAATGTCATTTTAGTGATAATTCTAGTTGGAAAAGCTGTTTCTATATAGACAGTGAGTAAGTTGATTCCAGAGTAGGTAATTGCAGTGTTGAAATATTTAACTGTGAACAAAGATATAAATTTTGCCACTAGAAACATCACTAAAATTAATAATAAACAATGTTGAAATTGTAGTTAATCATTCAATCAAATGAAAGGCTCATTATATATATATATATATATATATATATATATATATATGCCTAGAGAGATTTGAAAGTACATCTGAATATTTAGCCTTTAAATGATTATGGATTGTAGGACTATTCGTTATTAAACTATTATTCTCCATTGTAAAGTACACTAAAATGATATTACGAGATTTTCATTACCTGCCATCGATAGGTAAAAAGTTGTCACACTAATTGTAAGTTGATGATGATGGGATTTCACTAAGGGAAAATTCATCAAATTATTCAATGATTTAATTTTCTAAAAGGTCACTTGATGATTTTTTTGGAATAAACGGCCAATAGATGCCTAATTATTTAAATATAATATCTTAGCTAGAGTTATTATACTACAGTAAATATATTTCTATGAAATATTTTTATATTTCACTTCTCTACTTTCTGACAAGTACAATGAAATAGTATTTTAAACAATAGCATTCCCTTGATTATGTGGATTTTAAATAATTTTTTACTTTAGTTAGAAAAATATTTAAAAATTTACATTTAGTAAGAAAATTTCATTTAATTTCCTTGGGAACATGTGATTGTTAATAATAATGTTAGTTTTCTGAAATTATTATTTATATTTTTTTCGTCACTCTCCGTTACCTTCAACAACTTTATTTGATATTATTTTTTCACCGCTAAAAATTCTCCGCTTTCCAACGATATGAATGAATAAGAAATGCTTTATTAAATATGCATAAATTATAAATTTCCAAAATACAAAGAACATTTATTCTGGATGATTATTCCTCTGCCGGAAATTTTATGTTTTACTAAATTTTATTAATAGGAACAGTACAAATAAAGACTTTATAACAATTCCATACACAGGCGGATCTACGAGGGGGGCTTTCGGGCTGAAGCTCCCCCCAAAATGGTAAAATGTTACCATATTTTACAGAAAAAATATTAAAAACTATCTCATAAAGTATTCTTGTTCGTGTAATTATATTTGATAGGACTTCAAGAACCACTTAAACACCATTTCATATAGGTAATTAATTTCTTTCTCTTTTTTTCAAATTAATTATCGTTATATATATATGAAAAAAAAAAATCTTTCGGGCTGAAGCCCCCCAAAATTAAATTCTGGATCCGCTAGTGATTCCATATACATGAATATTGGACATTTAAGCTCTGTAAAGTGACATCAATGGAGATAAGACTTCAGGAGAAAAAACTAGAGATCATATCTTTCCTCCTAATTGTCCGATTTTAACGATTTTTTTTTTAGGAAATACCATAAACATTTTAAAAATACATATACAATATCCACAAAAAAGTGTATACTTTTTGAGTTATTCGGAATTTAATTTTACCATCCCTCGTAACTCTTTTTCCAGCTTCTTTTCGTTGAAGTATGTTATATAGATAAATGTAAAGGGTGTCGAGAAAATGGCTTTAGAGAAGTTTCATTGAAATCGGTACATTCGTTTAGGCGCTACAGTCTAGAGCAACGCAGGTTTTTCTGCATTTTTATTTTTTTTTCTCCTTTAACTTATCAAATTCTTTCAAAAGTTATATGTAGTATTTTTTCGTAACTCTGAATAATGCGAAATAAATAACTTTTTAAAATAAACCATATTAAAGGTATTTTAGAGGAAGACATATATGAACACTGGGTATTTAAGCCCTGTAAAGTGACTTTAACAGGGATAAGACCTAAATGATATTAAAGACCATTTAATTATACAATGATACATCGAGTTTAATCAAAATCGTTAGAGCCGTTTATAAGAAAATGTGTTTCAGAGTTGATATAAATTGGCACTTCCGGTTGGCCGATTTTAACGAAAAAGTTGAGGTCACATCGATACTATATAAAAACTTTAAAACACGCAATTTAAGTTTCGTACGACTATTCGTTTTTGAGCTAGACTGTTCAGACACACGCAGAGCATTTTGTCCGATTTGGTTATTTGAACCCAAGGAACATCAAAACGTATATTCCCGTTGAAAACTCAAATTCAAAAACTTTCACGATCGCAATAATTTCCCTTATTATATATTACATATACAGGTAAGTGAAAGTAAAATATACTGATGATAATGGTAATTCTGACGATCGACCTTTTTCTTCCTAAGAACAAGCTTCTTCCAACACAAAATATCAATACAAAGAACGCCATCAAAACGCAGAATTTTTTTCCCCGCAGAATTGATAACTTCACAAAAAAAATGTATGGGTGGAGGAAAAAATTTGAAACACCCCAGAAAGCACAACTCTAACACAGCGGAATTCATAAACAAATCCAAATTTCAATTTACTCTTACTTTTATTATAACGTTATGCCAAGAAAACAAAATTACATGCCGAATTTCGCTCGATTTGATCCTGAGTGCTGCTGTAGAGAGCATGGCATTAAGTGCCTTATCCACATTTACATATGGATACTTGTGTACCATAAATCCTTAAAACCCTGATGAACTGGATCCATGGGTTATAAAATAGATATGAAATGCATCTCTACCCTTATCTGATAAAAAATTAATCAAGTAATATCTATGTTAAACTTAAACCTTATAGATTAAATTTTGTCTATTTATACATATGTAATTATTATTTCAATTATAAATACCAGGAGGTTATTCCACAAAATTACTAAGTGAGAACTGGTTTAAAATACATAACTTTGACTTTAATCCACAAAAATGGCAAGTTTCAAGAATATATTCTACATGGTATTAAGATAAAATTTTTTATTAGTATCCACTTAAAGCTATATCACAACTACTTATCTGATATTATAGTAAATTGTTTTAACATAAAAAATACAACTGCAGTTTAATTAAATTATTATTATTATATAATAAAAATATAAAATGATCATAAAAAAGCAAGTTATAATCACATGCTTCTAATCCAATACCTGTTTTGGTTTTTTTGTCTGAGGGTGAATTCTTTCCTCACTAGCCATTGTAGAACTGCCAAGCTAGCAAGTAGTCGGTGAAGACTTTGAAAAGTCTTGATCCAGTTAAGGTTAATCCATAATAATAACAACAGTATTTTTCACAATTTAGTTTTATTTTCAGTTAGGTTTGAATACAATATGCTTATGAAAACCCCAAAAGAAAAGATAAATCATAATTGATTTCAATATAATCAGAATATAGACAAAAATATATATAAGTCATTTCTACATAGAACAGGTTCTAATACATAAAAATGAGGCAATAATTTTGATTATTACCTTTAAAATGAATTGAACTAAAAATGAACATTGCTATGGAAAATAAACAAAACAAAATTAATACTAACATACAAAAAGTTTTAAGAGAGGAATGAATCTGTTAATATATGCCTAATAAATTCAATATACGAATTTGGGTAATTTAGACAATAATGGATACACAATTTCAATCCAACCTTCTATAGGAGGCCATGTAAGTTGAACCTGGAGGATACTAATGAGGGAGAAAGCAAAATGGCACGATAACCCAACATTCACACGCTCATTCACACCGGCAACATTCATACAACACACAACAACAATCTTCAGTCAACAACAAATAACCATAACAGTCGAGACAAAATACATTTGTACATAATCAGTTTGACAGCAAACATACTTCAGACTCTCTCATTGATACAATGCAATATTTAATATACATATATAGTACTTCCATACCGTAGGAAGTGTAAAATTTATTAATCTTATATATTTCTAGTAAATTAAAGTCTATAAAATCTGAATAACACTTCGGCAGGTATGACAGAGATTCTCACACGCTGAGACACACACTTAGGGGCGCTAAATATCACACAATCCGGAATTAAAGCGCGCACACTCTAGGAAACACTTTTGTGCACACACTTCGCAATCACAGTTAAATGAGTTTCTTAAACGTATATTTTTTTATTATTTTTTATATTAATTATATAAAAACAAAAACCGACAGTCATTGCCCAGATTCGGTGTGCCTTTATTTAAATTTTAACCCTAAACTAGTTTGTTAATTTTTATTCCCAAAAATATACATATATTGACAGGTTTATCTTAAAAAGGAACATTTCCATAACAAAACCTCTAGATTGTTCCTTTTATCACTTAATTTAAATGTTAATTTGTGACAAGTAGATATTAACAATAATTTCAGATTGTCATGGCCTAATAACAAGTTTACATGAGTTTACGCTCTTAAAAATTAAAATCTAGTTATACCATAGAGAAATGAAAGCTTATTAGGGAAATAAAACCAGTTTCAAACTTATTTTACAATTACTTTGAAAAACGTATGCCAGAACAAGCATGATAGACGACAACTAAATCAATTTTTTAAAATCGAGGCCACAAGTTTTTAATATCAAAAGTAAGCCTATATTGTGAGAAGGCCATGGCAAACAACTAATGGTATATATACAAGCTCTCACTCCAAGAAAGTGAGGAAAAGAAACCTAGCTAAGAAACAAGTTTGGTATTGTCACAGGCCACAGAGAGAACCTAGCAATGTGCTTACAAAAAACCTAAGTACAAATATGTTATTTGTACAGATAAATTACTATAGATATTACATACACATAACAAAGTTATGAAAATAGAAACTAAATTAAAATTAGGCTCATAAGGCATTAAAATGAGTCCAACTATCACAGGCTTAGTAGTCGTAGTCCAAACGTGGATTTTAAATGAGGTAATAAAAATGAATAAATAAATAAAAATAATGAGCAATCCTCTTTCATGACTGATATCTTCAAAAACATAAATTAAAAAAATAATAAATAATAAACAGCATCTAAAAAGGTCCTTTATACACATTTTTATTTCCTGAGTAGATATTGGTATGTTGGAAACAGCCATACTTTTTTTTTCAGTTTTTACTACTTGTTACTGGTAAAATTAACTGCTGCTAGCCATTGCTAGTATATTCTCTGTTACAATAAGACATTAAATTTATAAATTACAATAAGATAAAATAATTTTGTAGGCAGAGGATGGGCAATCCCCTCAGCTCGTTCCAATTGTAGTAGATAGCTTAAAGGCACTTCATTCTTCTAATACTCTTCTTCCCAAGGACGGGAAATACCAAAAAACGTACGTCTATACAAAATTCTCTTTGGATATGTTCTTCAGTTTTCAATCGCTTGTGAATTTCATAACATTTTCTACATAACTTCAACTAAATATTGTTTAACAAAATAAAACTAAATGAAATAAACTCTTTAAGTGGAGTCGACACATTTGTACAATTCGCCCCTCACATATTTTCCATAATTATCGTTCATTCACTTCACTCACGTCATTTTTTCGTTGATCTCCAAAGAAAAAATATACATATGTATATAAATCTGACAAACGATGATTCGCTGAAATCTGTATTTAAAAGTAGAAATAACAGTTTACCACTGACACACACCTCATATTTATTCTCTCTTGATACTCACCATTTGTTCTCCATAAAAACTACATAATATGAAATTTATGATAACAATGAACATGACAAAATGAAGGTTAAACACTGAGAGAAAGGACAGGCAGGCAGACAGACAGAAATGTTGGAAGTGGCCAGGGAGGCTGCGGTTGAGGGTCTGCTGGCCGCTACGTAGTCTCTCCTCTGTTCTTATCGACAGTGACGGTCCTAATAAAGTCTGTAAGTCAATGTCACGTACAAGTTTACAAATCTGTTTCACGTTTGTTGGATGATCTGCAAAAATTAAAAAAAATAAAGCTTGTTAGTGTCATTTGAATAATAAAAATAAATGACTTAAAGAAATATGAACTTCCCTCAAAATAGCTATGTATCATTTAATGCCATTAAATAATTGCTGCAGCATTACTGGTACTAATGAACATCCATGTCTATTAAATCTTGTCATAATTCAATCGATAAATAAATGAGAAAAAAATACCAATTTGATACACACATAAGAATCAATAAGATTTATATCTAATAATCACTAAAACCCCTTCTTATAAAAAGTAAGATAATGATGAATAAATAGAAGTTTTTGATAAAAAAAAAAAGTTAAATTATAACCGTATTTCATTACATTAATCAATAATCTTGAAGTCATAAGATCAAAAAACAAAATCATACATAAAATTTCATTTAAGGCATTGAACTCCAAAACCAACTAACCCTATTTTCATTTGTTATATATATATATAACATTTGATATGTAGGGAAGTAAAAACTATAGAAGATATAACATACTCATTTGAAATAATTAATTACCATACAAAACATTGGCCGTGTTCAAAATACAAACTTTTGATGACAAATTTTGAAAATTTAGTATTTAATTAAGCCCTGTTAGAGAACATCAATGAGGATAAGATCTACATTAAACTAAAAGTCACTTAATAATACATTGATATAATGCGTTAAATAAAAATCAATAGAACAGTTTTTCAGAAAATTGAAAAAATATGTAAAATCAATTATATAATGTGGCACAACCGGAAAGCCGATTTTGATGAAAAAGTTTATGTAACATTCCATAAATGTACAAATGTTTATCACACAATTTCAAATTTAAATTTAAATTCAAATTCACAATATATTGTGAAATCAGATTTTATCTCTGAAGATGCCTGAAGAGGTGAAAATTTGGATAAATTTAAAATAAAGTATTTTAATTATTGAGACTATAAAGAGCTCATTTCTGCTGATATGTTTTTTTTTTTCAAATAATGATTTTACTTCTGGGTTATAATTAGGTTAAATTACATGTGATTTATTTATTTTTAGAGTTAAATGGAACTCACAAAATCTGATAAAAAAAAAAAAAAAATGTAAATGGAGTTGGCTGGCTTTAGAATTATCTGTTTTATCAATAAATTTTATAAAATGTAAGATTCCAATAATTTTCAAGCCATATATTTAGAAAATGGTACTTTATAAATTTGAATACTCTTACTCAAAATTACAGGTTTGCAACTTTATAAAGCTAGATTCCTCTTTTTTAATTAAATGACCCTTAAGAGTGAATAAAACTATAGTTAATAAAAAAAAAATACTTGTTTTTTTTATCTTCAAAAAAACAAATCACTGAAATTGTGTCATGTTCCTAAGAACAAGCCAGAATGATCTTGATAACAAATCTTAGGGTTTTACATTAGTACTTTACTGAAAACAATAAATCAAAATTAATGTGTCATTTTTTTTTAATTGGATAACCCACTACCCACCATTTCTGGCCCACAAAGGGTTGTTCTAGAGGTACAACCAAACCTATTCTAACTAGAGTGGGAGGGTCGAGTTTCATTCCATGGGTGTGACCACGAAATAAAAGTCAACCCGCCCAGACCGGATTCGAACTCACGTTGCTAGGCATGAGAATGCTACAACAGACAATGCTCCAATATTCTCGGCCATCACAACCACAAAAAATCAATACACCAATAATAAAAGAACAAATGAAACCTTAATATAAAAAAAAGAATTCCTGGTAGGGATATATTTATTTAGATGTAGAAGATCTCTTCCACTGCTTAACATAAAGCACTGTGCTGTACTTCTTACATATATGATTCAATTTAGCTAAACTCTATAAATATAAAAATAAATATCACAGTTCCAAGCTACCTCCTTGAATAACACGATTATTGCGCTTATGGCAAAAAGGCATTTATCAGTTCATATTTTTACATATTATAGAATAGTGGAAATGATTAAATATACATTAAATAATTAATAATTTATAATTAGTACAGCCGTTAACAAAATCTATGATGATTCAGACAGTTAAAAGATAAACCTTTATGCTAAATAAAAAAAACAAAAACAAAAGCATTAATTAAATTTAATAAGGAATATACATGCATAGACAGAAGGCAACCGTTTAGGAAGGTAATTGTGCTGGTTAGAGAGACTATAGGTGCAATAACGGTTGGATAGGATTCAGGTAAAAATTTGATCAAGAGGAGGTTACTTCCTCTAACTGGAGTGAGGCCCACGTTGGTAGCGGATAGACGGTCCCTTCCCTACATTAACAGTTTCAATTAGTATCTAGAATTTATGTAGGCCAAATTACTTACTAAGACAAAATAAACAGAAGTGCCCGAAATCTTCTTAATATCTAGGTTAAATATAAATGCGATCTTCTGATCATTAAATGATTCCATGATAAAATAGAAATCAATCATTGGAAAACGTTGTAAGTGTCTATCTTATCTTTGAATGCCTAAAGTGATAATTTCCTATCAAACAAATTTTAATAAAAATAGATTCCAGGAGTAGAATAACCAAGCAGGATGACTGAGTAGAGATTAATACTGAAATTAAGATAGATGTTAAATCGCAGAAAATCGCTTTATACAATCTAGAGATATCTGATCTCCTCGTATGAAATGACTAAAGACCCCTCCTCTTCAGGTAGGTGAGAGGCTTTCCTCATGTTTTATAGGAAGAAATATCCTGACTGAGCTTAAACCTTATGAAAACATTTTATTAAAAAATGAATTCTTTAAATGAAACAAGCTAATTTTTTTTTATTTTATATATTTAAAACACATCACATATAGAACAGGAAAAAAAAAGGTTTTTGGAAGCAGAAAATTTTGGAAAGCAGATCATTTTGATTACTATTGATTACAATTGGAAGTGAAAAAACTGGAGCTAATTTTGCACAATCCCTTAACACAAGCTTAAGTTACAGTATACGTATAAATAAAACAAAAAATTTTATTTCAAGAATTAAAGAACATTAAACTTTGTGTTATATGCATACCTGGTATTATAAACTCAATGCAGGGATATGGTCAAAATTTACAGTCATAAAAAGGAGCTTTTAGCAACTTTGCAAAGATATTTAATAAAGTGATTTAAAAATGTATGTAAAATTAAAATAACTGTTCTTAATTAAAAATGTTTCAAATAAAAATTATAAACAAACAAATTTTGTATTTAAAAAGTATCATATCGACAGCCACACTGCAAAAGCCTGTAAGAACAAAAACTAAAAATTTTCAGAGGACTAAAAACTGAGTAATTTATGTTATATGGACATCATATTTTTGGTTCAATTTTTTTTGCAGACATAAGACAAAATGCAATGCTCTATATAACTTTTTTGATCGCATTTCTGCCAATAATATTTTAGAACCATTACTTCTAACATATAGCTTTTTATCTACTTTGAAAAAAAGGTATTAGTTACGTAAAAGCAATCAAATTTAATGTAGTAACACCCATAACTTTGTTAATAATGACCAAAACATGACAGGAACAAAGTCAGTTTTCAAAATGTAGAGAAACAATACTTCAAATGAAACTTTTGTAAAACATCAGACTGGAAAGAGAGTATTTGATCACAGGGGCTATTCATTATTTCGTATCTCACTGGCGGCTCAAATGGAGCGCATGCGCCCCATTTTGGAGTAGTCTATGAAAGTTTCGTTTTTAACGTACTTACCTCATATGGACTTCGTTTGATTCACGAATGCTTCATAAGTTCTAGGTAACCTATTGATGTGTAAATCACTTCTTTTTCTGAGGTCCTTGCTTTGAGATTTATTGGTTTGAAAAGATGAAACTATAGTTTTTTCATGGCATTATAGTTGTTTTTTTTCCCCAGTAAAGCTCATTTTGCAGTTGCCAGGAGGTTTTGAAGGCCATTCAGTATTATATTCCCACTTACCACTCTCTTCTGTGCTTTGTATAGTTTCATGATAAGCAGAGCTGGCCTCAGGACAGGAGAATCTGGCCATTTGCCCAGAGGTATCAGGCTGGAAGTGCTCGCCACTTAATAGAAATTTTAAAAAATGAATAAATGCGCATAACGCTTTATACAATCCGTATTTACACGACCACCTTTCATTACGATTTTTCGGTAACGTCTTAATCTCTATAACCTTCTTCACTGTAACTTGCAGTTTTTTAAATTACATGTTTTTACAAAAGGCCATAGAGAAGAGATGAAACATCGTAGATTTCGTTTTGTAGGATCAGAATATGCGCCAGGACAAGATTGACCAGAAAAGTTCAAAACCTCATTTTTCAAAGAAATTGTCCTTACAGGCTTTTGCAGTGTGGCTGTCGATATTCTCAATCTAAATACAATAAAACCCATAATGCGACTCATTCACTCATATTTAGAACATCAGATTGTCTCTCTCACTCCCTCATCAGTACAAAATCTAGCCTGTTTTCTTTCTAGACAAAATAATAAAATCGAAAATTCAGAATCATGTAGATTTTAACTAGTTTCTACTGATAAAATTTTAAAAAGTTAAGTTATTAATGTTCAACTCCCACAAAGAAATCAAAATAGCAGGCTCAACTTATATATCAGTGATGTATCTTAGGTCTTTTTGCACTAGCAAACAATTTTGTGAGATCTACAATTTTTATCTAATTTGTTTTATTACCATCAGATACATATTAGATAGAGTAAGATTTTTTTATGTTTAGAACATTAGTTTTAAAGTTCTTAAAATTTGAAAAAATTTTGCCTTGTTAAATACAATCATCTACAATATTTTTTTTTATTCTAAACAAAAACAAATCAATTGGTAAATAATAACCTCAAAACACATCCTAAGAAATGGCAGAAAACAATGATATAAATTTTTTTTTTTCGACTCCTATGTCGATAAGAACTCTCGTGCACGTGTTCAATATTTGTCAACCTATTGTTATTTTAAAAAAAGGGAAGTGGAAAATTAATTAAAACATATTAAAATCGTTATTTGAAAGGAGACTGTGTTTCAAAATGAAAATAATTTTCATTTAAACTGAATAATAAAATAAATGTGTAAAATATTTGAAACAAATGTTTTCAAAATAAGAAAAAATTAAGGAGGACCATTTTATGTTGTATATTCTAATGTTGGAAAATAAACATGGTGTAGGTATATTTATTTGAATTAAGGATGATATCACTTGAAGAGTATGGACTATAAATGAGTGAAAAGCGAGAGTGAATCGGAATAGCAGCGGAAGTAAAAAAGCGAAGTAAAAATATGTTTCAACAAGCGACTACAATTTTATAATGTTTAGAAGGATCCTGACGAAAGAAATTATAAATATGAAAAAAAAAAAAAAAGAATGAAGACATCAAAGAATTAAAATAATAATTATTATTTGAAAGTTGGATATTCTATTTTATGGTTAGGTTCAAGTATTTCATAACATTATAAGTTATGAATTATTGAAGGAAGTTAGTCAACTTTCCTCCCTAACTTAAGTTATGTTTGAAAAAAATTATCATTTTAATACAAATAAATTATTAACAATAATCCAGTTTTTTAATTTTTTAATAAAAAAGTTTATTATAAATTGTTCTAAAAATCTTTAATATATATATATATATATATCTGAGGGAAGACAGGCGCACCAGTAGAGACCAGCCTAACACGCTGGATCCTATCAGAATCCGTGAGTTTTCTTCCATATTGTGGCCAGATCTTGTGGATCAGGATATTAAGAAAACCCACACGTTAACCACCTTAACGTAAAAGATGTTTTGCCAAACACATGAATAATAGGACTATGATTAATATCTTATTGTTGCCAAAAAGTTGGAATAGATCGAATTGGTATTTTAACATATAAACATAACGCTAGTGTGGCCCAACCCACTTCCGCAGAGAACTAATTTAAAAAAAAAAATAAGTAGTACATAAAATAAAAAGTAAAAAGAAATATATTTCTTATTTTTGTTTTTTAAATTTTGATATTATAGTTAATAATAAAATTTCTATTAGCTATTCAATAATTCAGAAAAAACTAATCAGAGATAAACAGGTTATATATTACAGTAATGAACTAGATAAAGTATATACAGGTTAAAGTTATCAAATTGTAGTATTTTCAAAACAAAATTTTGATTGAGTTTAAAAAACAAAATCTTAAACCACGGCTGGAGCAAGGTTTTTACATAGAAATTTTTTCTATAGCAAGTATTTCTATGAACAAATAATAAAACCATCATTCAAAAAAAATATTACTTATATAGATGGTCTAAATATCAATAACAGCTTATGTGACAACATTAATTGTTTTTTAAGTTTCAGGTCAAATCATAAAAAACACTTAACTTTTCATTGAAGAAAAATTAAAAAGATGAGAATACATTTCCCACTTTGAGTATGTTAATATATTCCTGATTATAATGAAAAAAAAATTATCTAAAAATTAGTTCGGTTGAAACCCCTTTTAATAGCAACTTTCATGTCACATTAAAATATGTTAAGGAACATCACCACAAATCTACAGCTAATGATAACATTAAAAAAAAACTATTCAAAACATTTTTTTTTCGTCTCTGGTTAATTGGACCTACTCCCCCTGGTCCCATTAAGGTCAGAATAGTTTCAATGAATATTATTTCAAAAATGTAAATATTTTCATTAATCTTCTGTTTCAAACACAGATAATGAAATCTTCTGAATGAAAAATATTTATTAAACCTAATAAAAAAAATAGTACACTTGGATATTCATCTAAAACAGGAATATTTTACAGGGAAAAATATTTTATTAGATAGTATGAAAGTTAGGTCAAATAAATTTGTTATTATATGTGCATAAATAATATGTATTTATACGTTAATATTAATGACAGAAGATGGTTTGAAGTCATTGTGGATACTGTTAGAAGAAGAAATATAACTATAACAAATTATCTAGAATTTATTAATACAATTAAATAATTCTAAAGATTTAAGTTATTCTGTGAATTGAGTTTAATAATTACTTTGTTATAGATAAGATGTCTACTATTGTAACTTAATTAGTTAAATTTATTTAATAGATCAAATAATTAATTTCAAGAAATTCTCCAGCCGTGGTGAAATAAGGCTAAGGAAGGAAGAATAGAGAACATACCAGAGATTGTGGGGAGAAAGAGAGATATCGCTGCGGTCAACTTCTTAGGTATCTCAGCGCTTTACATGGCACCTGGCGGTGACATCATCGCCTGAGCACCGTTGGTCACCACTTCACTCCCGCTGTATAGTCCACACACATACAATATTAACAATGCCATTCACCAAAAAACGGTAGGCAGGTAATATTCCACAATAACAAGAGAATCATAAGAGGAATTTTTGTAATATCATTTGCCCATCCAACAGAAAAATATCTACCTATAACTTCATACTTTAGTTTTAATCAATGCATTTAGCATTATTAAAAGAATTTCTGAGCGATAAGTAAAATAATACCCAAGTGCTATTTTGAACATATTATTTTATATCCTAAGTTTACATAGCAAATGGCAATAAACTTAATTCAAGTATTGTACAATTTAAACGTGCAGAAGAGAATGTAACAGAAATAATTGATATAAATCAAAAAAACAGTTCTATTAATATCACAACAAAGAAAAGTACAGTGAGCTCTCTCTACATAACATAATAAATTACATCGAAATCTCTTGACAACAGACACCCATACATCAGACAGACTTGTCTGTTGTACAGGGGTGTCCATTGAGAAGGGATATATACAAGTGCTAATCAAAAAAGAATACATAGAACATGCACATATAATTTTTGTTCAATTATAATGATAATTACATAACACAATTTTAAATTGATCGGTTAAATTTCACAGATAAGTTTATTTAGTTTCTATTAATATTTAATAATTGTACTTCCATCAGAAATTTCAGCAGTCATTATTAAGATTCATATCGAAAAAGAACGACAGATATATTGATTCATTGTGTACAAGATAAACAGAGGAAAGGATTTCTATTAAAATTGATGAGGGACCGGGGCAAATTGTAAACATTTATTATTGATTACAGATAACAACACTCAAAAGCATGTTTTCAAACACAACCTCCTAATTATGGTTCTCAACTAATATTCAACACTTTGTGGCTGTTTGGATGAGTAAATTAATCTCTCGGGGTGATGAAAATTTGGTTGTCCACAGCTATAAACTGCCCTTTAAAGTACAGCATGAAACATGGATTTATAACAATCTACATTATGACAAACTAAAACTGCCCTTTAAAGTACAGCATGAAACATGGATATATAACAATCTACATTATGACAAACTAAAACAGTCCTTTAAAGCACACCATGAAACATGGATTTATAACAATCTACATTATGACAAACTAAAACTAGGATCAGATTCAAGTTAGATCACCTTAAAGTTTGATGTACATCAGGTAAGGTACCCTTTTGGGCTATTTTTGAAGTGAAAACTTCTTTAGACGTGCTAAGCACTTTATTTTGTAGGTGTTGAATGAGACTGAGCTGTCACGTTCAGCTATTCATTGACTAATTTGAAATAAGTTGGTTCGAGTCGACTAATTCTAAATAAGTTGGCTCAAGTCGACTTATTTTTGTGTTCGGATTAAAATGAATCAGAAACTATTAATCGGACCTGCACACTGTAAGCGAGAGAAATGTTCAGTATTCCATCTTGTTTGTAATGAGCAATTATTAAAAATGGTATCTTGACGTAACGCCGTAGGCAAAAAAGGAAAAATATAGCATCAAAAACCAAATAATTAAGTGTTTTTTGAACATTTGGATTATAATATCTCAAAAACTAAAATCTGGACCTGCATATTGAAAAGAAATGGAAATTTTTGGCATTCATCCTATTTGTAATGAGCTATAATTCAAAATTGTATTTTGATGTGATGCAGAGTTGGAGAGTTGGTAAAGGAAACTGAAAGTGCCAAATAAGCTAGTTTTGAATATTCGGACTAAAATATCTCAACATTTAAATACCATAGAGAATTAAGAAACCAATTTGCAAAAAAAAAAGAAAAGATTTTACACATATTTCACTTTATTTTTGGCAAAAAAAAAATGGTTCACTGCTTTATAACCCGTTATTTTTATTAATTGTGCCAGAAACCTCTGAGACAATATGAATTTATTTGAAGAGTGTATTTAGATAAATGAAAAATAATTTTCCTTTCACATCAGTGAAATCCTAATTAATAGGAAAGCATCACTAAAATATTTTAATAGTTCTAGAAAATATAGAATACTGTAACAAAGAATTAAAGACTTAGGTAACGATTGCTAGTATCAGCTGTCCTAGGGAATTGGATAATTGAAATGAATTTGTATTAAGTAGGCGAGTCGGATGGCAATGCCCATCCTACCTTCCTAATTCATCAGGATTTCAATTTTTTATTTAGGACAATCAACATTCACACAACACCAACAGAAATCTACTATTTTTATTCTTCATTTATGAATTTGAATATATATGAAACAAGCTAAAACAAACAGGGATAATAGATTAATTTTTTGGCAATCAGAAGCTATTATAATATTCTTTATAAGAGATGCTAATAAAATATAAATGTAATCTCAATTTCTGAAAATATACTATCTTCAGAATATTTATTGGTACTATTATAATTTACAATGAATAATAAAATTCTGCGATAATAAAATTTATTTTATATAAATTATTAAGGAAAAGATTACGAAGGAAATAGTAATCCTAACCTTACCAATGGGTTGTTTCTTCTTCACAAGTGCTTACCATGTGATAATAGTCTTCATATTAGTATAGCAATAGACAGCAAATTTAGTTATCATGCCTTTGTTACAGTTGTATGATTTAATAATGAATAAATTATATATTTATTCCTTCTTAATTTTCTGGAGTCCAAATTAAGGTATTCCATATAATATATTTATTAGCAAACATTTTGAGGCTATGTTCCCATTTTCAAAACTTGGTTAGTATCACAGTTTAATGACTTCACAATAATTTTTAATGCACATTTTCCTGTTAATGTCAAAATATTAAATAAAAATTATTGTGAAATTAGTAAACTGTGATATTAAGCAAGTTTTGAAAATGGGGATATAGCCCCAAAACGTTTGTTAATAATATTATGTGGATGTCTTAAGTTTGGTACTTACAATATTATGCAAATTTTAATGTATGAATATTTTATCAATCTTGTATTATTTCAAACTCCTTTATTGGCTTATGAACTAATCAATAAAGTAAAGTTTATTAAGACATAAGCCTCAGTTCTAAGATGACTAAAGACTACAAATTTTAACAAAATAACTTTGCAAAGAATTCCAACAGATTCTGATATTACTGCGTAAATATCCTAAATCACCCCTATATCATCTCACTAACCTTAAGAACCATTATATGGTATAGAGGTTTATGGAAAAAAAGGATTTCTGATGGAAAAATGGACAAAGGTGCCATAACAGATGTGTTTTTTTAAAGGTAATTTAAGAGTATGTTAGCAGGAATTAGATACAGCCCCTAAGTTAACAAATTTTAGAGAAAAGATAAAAGATTAAAAAAAAAAACAAAAAAAAGCTGGTCAAAATAAAATAAGGACAGGTGTTAATTCACAACAAAATTAACTGGAAATTAGGAAGAATGTAAGAGGTGACTTACCAGGAGGCTGCGTTAGCTATAGTAGCTTTGTATCTCCTCATTTCTTTGGATGCCCAGTTTGAAACAGCTTTCGTTTTGTTGATCCTCGACCTCCTTCCCTGTGTCAGCAGCTCATTGATTGGATCAATATCCAACAGGGGTATGACCTTAGGACCGAAAGCGGAACAAAGATCTCTGCACAAACACAAAAGGAATCATTTAACATTTTAGTAAAATTGTAGTTAAAATTAATAAAAAAATTGAATAAGATAAAATTTGCACAGTACAAAGAACAAGATCAAATATAAAATAAACAAATATAATATTTTTTTTCTAAACACAAATCGCACTAGCAGAACTATGGCGATACAAAAATAAAATTTATTGACTTAATTCATGATAACAGAATATGAGAGAAAAAAAATAATAGAGAATACCCGACCAATGAGACCTGATAAATCATCAGAAATGTTTTGAAAACTAGCAAAATGTTAATTTGCTGACAACATTGTCTAAAAATAATTATTACAACAAAAATTATATTTTTTTAATTTTATCAGGTGTATAAATATGAAACCATAATTCACTCATTGATGGCTTCAATTAATAATTTAGTTCAAATTAAATGCATCATTGGCACAATTTTGTTTCTTCAGTAGCTAGCAATGATTTTTAATTCACAAGTTTCACGTAACAGCATCATTTTAAGTGTTAAATGTTGAGTTTTATGCCAACAAACAATTTTTATCAAACTCTTAACATCCACCTAAAACTTCGTAAATAGCTTCGTCTCATCGTAACCTATAAATACTTTATTTACTACAATTCTCGGAATTGGGGGATGTTTTCAATTTGGAGATTGGCAAACTTTGTCTATTTAATTAGTTACTAAAAACTCATGAATACCCATTTGTTTTCCATGAAACCAAGTTGTTTTGTTGATAAAAAGAGGTCTGTACAGAGACTACAATCATTTTGGGGGACATTAGTTTTCTGTAACTATTAAACAAGAACTAAGGAGGATCTCAATGAATAGATGTCAGAGCTTATTATGAGTGAGCATGCTCCTGCTAAATCACAGAGCCTCGAATTGTTTTAAAAAATTCAAGAGTGGAAATTTTAACAGGAGAAATGAAGAATATAGATGTGATCAATTATGAACAGCTAAAACCTGGTGAAATCATTAATAAATAATGATATCGACAACAACTGATCAATTTGAATAGAGTAGTGTGAATAACAACCAGAATATCAAAAATGATTGCAGTTATTTGCCTTTATGATAATATACCATCACACACAGCAGAACCTTTGAAGGAAACAATTAAAGAGTTTAGTTGGGAAATATTAGTTCATGCAGCTTACTCACTAGACTTGACTATTCATTTGCATCAATGGGGCGGGCACACATTTGCTCAACAGAGCTTCTCTCTTAAGAAAATGTGCAAAAATGACATGACGACTGGTTCGTAAAATAACAACAGCTTTTTTTGGCATAATATTCAAAAATTGCCAGAGAGATGAGAAAACTGTATAGCTAGTTTAATTTTCATGTATATGTATATATCAGCTGGTATTGGACAGAAAGTTATATTGTTGTTTACAAGTTGTGTTTGTTAGCACATAAATAATCTGTAACATAATTAATTCTTACAGGTTTTTTTTTCGTTTATTTATATTGCTGTTATTAATGTATTTTGTTATCTAATACCATTTAAATTCTTAAATATTAATAAAATCAGTTGTTAATAAGCAAAGTTAAATATATATGTAAATGTTCTATTATCTAAGATCTTTTTTCCTGTTTGTTGGATAAGTATTATTATTTTTTTATAAATAAAGTATATTAACATTAATTGTTGTTGATATGCTCATAACACTCATACATTTTCAGTTAAAAGTAGTGACAAAAAAAATTTATTATACTTGTTGATATCAATGGAACCACTGGATAAGTTACCAATCCAAATCACACACCCTCAATTCAGGTTAGACCCTTAAAAGGGACTGCAAGATTAAACAAATACAAAAATTACTATAAGATATCGCAACCTACCCAACTAGACCAGCTGAGCCGGCCAAAACTTTATCCTGCTTGGAGGTATCTCTAGAAATACAGGTTAAGAACTGGGCCATCACTGGGATATGGGGCTCCAGCAATGCAAGATTAGCAACACTGACGGCCGTGTTGTTATCTTCTCCTTTCAATCCTTGAATGATACCAGAGTAGGCTTCCACGATTCCTTCCCTTAATTCATTCAACCAATCAACCATGTCGAAGTCACTCTAAAAATAAAACAAACAAAAATTGGATATTTATAAGAGATAAATTTTTATCATATTTGCATGGAGTACTAAACAAAGAGTACATCTAATAATAACGACATAAAGTTATTTTTATGTGGAATATAAGACACGTAATTGATAGACCATTAAATATTAGTTGATAAGATATTAATCATTATCCTCTCACGGTTCAATCCACTTAAGAATTTCTAAGAATAAGTTAAATGTTTTCCTTTTCCCCCCTCACAAGAATGGCTTTCTATAATAATAGTAGATAAGAAAGAGAATAAAAATTGTTGATATAGAATTGCGGACAAGAACACAGTTCACACAACTGAAGGATACTGAAAATTCACTAATTTTGAATTGAACCAAAACCCATATCAACCAGAATAAATTTATTTAGGAATAACAAGTAGGATTAACTAGTTAAATTATTATATATACTTAAGGTTAAACCTAAACATTATTTTCAAATCAGGCCATGTTCAGCAATATGAATAAAAATCAGAAAATAATGAAACTGATGTAGTTATACAAAATCATAAGAAGCATTAATGCCATAATTCAAACTTCATGTAAATGAGAAGGTTCTAAGGATTTTTGCTCATGAAAAAAAAAAAACAAAAAAAAATTTGTGAAGAGTAAAGTAATATACCAAGATCTGAATATTTCAAATCAATATCTATAGTAAAACTTGAAATGAAATCATTGTAATTCATTAACTATAATCAAATTATTTTTATGATATTAAACATTCAATGGGCTCATTAGTTTTACATTATTGAAATTACATAAATAACAATGTTATGAGGAACATAAATTTCAGCTGATAAAATCTTAAATATAGAAAATAAATTTATGACTAAGTACCGTATCAACTTGCGCTTGAGCAGCCTGCATAAGTGTGTGGAGTACTACATCCAAGTACTTTTTGAAATCAGAGCCAATGCTTAATGCGACATCTCCAAAAGTTGATAGAATTTGTGGTTTTACAGAACGGTGAACACTGTTATCCTAAAATAAAAATAGAAAATAAGTAAAAAGTAAATTAATAATTATAAACATATAATTTGTAATATATATACACACACACACACACACACACACAAAACATAATATTTAAAATAATAAATAGAAATGTTATTAATTCACACAAATTTATTGAATAGTGGATCTTCAAACGGCCTGTTGTTACTAAGTACCAATCTTAGTGACATACATTAGGATGAATATCAATACCACAAGGTTTGGATCATTTCTAATAATTAGGTAAAATAGAACATACAGATTGTACAGGCTACAGCTGTAATAATTGAGACAATTTAATTACAACAACTTTTCTTTTACATTAATCTTGACAGACTTGTTATTCATACTTGTGAAATAGGTTGAAATAACTGTATTTTTCTAAAAATAAACAGGTTTTAGCCACTTTTGTGACTAGAGAAATCATTGGAGCTCAGTTGGAAATGTCAAACATCACCTAATTGACTATAATTTATTTTGAAATTAAAAAAACTCTTTGAATGATAACAATTTTCATAGATGATGGATCTGAAATAGCTAGAAAAATTATATGCAGATGGGCTATCGAGAAGAGACCAATGGTTATGCGCAAGAGTGCTCTCAATAATGTCATGAAGATGACACCACATCCAGTTTATAATATTTAAATTCATCTTAATCTTGCAAATATACATAAAAGACGGAAATAAGAACCCCTGTGAAACTAATTTCTAATCTAGACTAACTTTTCCGCTCTAATTAATCACATATAAGTCTTAGAACCCATCCTAATATGTATTTGCTAAGTCACCAGTTGGAAAATATGACTCTCTTTGACAAATCTCTAAGCAAAAAAACAATGTGATCCGATATTTGACTTGTTGACAGGCTTTTGTATTACCATAATCAATAAAGATAATGGCACAGCCTACAGAGATGCTTCAATCCCAATGGAGGAATAATTTGATTTTGAAGTGTGATAAGTTTAAAATTCATAATTGAGTTGGTTAAAGATTAACCATTATAGCCCTGGAGCCATTAAGCCTGTTCAAATATATAGCTGTGAGACCTGGACACTAAACACCATCCTAAAAAAAAGTATTGAAAGATTTGAGAGAAAAATCCTCTGCACGATAAAAAAAAAAAACCTGTACCACTACAACCCATGAAGGGTCTGGGGTTCAGTACTATTTAGGAAAAGCACTGTTTCTAGGTCAACGGTTGTGCAAAGAGGTGATTTGACCGAGATCACGCTCAACTGCCAGGTTTCCCTCCTTAATCAATTATTTAATTAAGGGTACCCACTTTATAGAGGCTGGGTGTGCCCCAGGAGGGACATCTGACCCAAGGTCGCCCCACGGCTAATGAAACAGATAAATAAATTTTCTGCCATGAGCCGGGGTTCGAACTCGGGACCTTTGCATTGGAAGCTCAGTGCCCTACCACTGAGCTACCCCGCTCCCTCCTCTGCACGATGACCAGTGCGATTTGGGATGAGAGTACTAATAGCCCTGGAGCCAGGGCCCAAAAATCGACCTGATCGCAGGCGAAGGTTTGATTGTCAATTATGAAAGTGTATGTTATTCTGAATAAAAAGAACCTTGTCTGCCCTTCCAGAGCAGCTGCTTTAAAAAATGGCAGCTGATTTAAAGAATATTAGGCCAATAACTTGAGGATCGAAACAGGAAATCCATTGCGAAAAATGTGAGATAAGTTTTTATTTTTTTAACTAATATATATATGGCTTTAGAAATGTAAAAAACAAAATTGTCAACACGGGCCACTCAGGGAAAACTTTACTGACAAATAAGTCAGATTTTTTCGATATTTTATGTATTTTTCACCTATAACTCCTAAACGATACATCAAAGCGAAAAATGTATTCTTTAATACATTAAAGAACGTTAAATTTTGTGTCAAAAGAGTACATACACTTTATAATTTAGTTACGTAAGGTAAGGTATAAAACCACGGTCAACCAACGCTGATTTTTACCAACTTTGTCAAAAACTGAGACGAATTACTATAAATGGTCCTGTAACTTGGAAATGAGTTCCGTAGAAAAACTAATAGAATCAAAGTTGTAGAGCATTAAATTTTGTGCCAAAGGCAAAAATATTAAAACAAAACTTCATAAAACATTTTTAAAAAATTAGTATTTAGTTTAATAAAAATATATATAAAATGAAAATAAATGCCTACACTGAGATTTTCAAGAAGAAGCCTCATGATATCATCACAATATGGAAGAACTTTGTTTTTCAAGGCCCGACAAATATCTCCAGTGAGACCAACGGCAGCACAACAAACCTGAAAATAAAAATTAATTAATAATATTATTAATAATATATTTATTTAAATAAAAAAAAAAATGAAAGACAGTATTAAAAAAAAACTATTGTTATGTCAGATATTGTTACCTTGTATATTATTTTTTTTCATGGAAATATAAAAATTACAAAGTTATATCTAGTAAGATTAAATGGTTACCTGATATTCAGCATGATTTTTGAGACCCATGCAGAGAAAAGGTTGGAATGCAGGCATATATTTAATAAAGCCATCACCAAGAACTTCAACTAGTGTTGAAACTGCCATTATTGCATCTTCTTGGACTGAACCTGACTTGCATGAATTGGAATTGAACATTTGTAGAAGTGCATTCATGATTGTATCAGATATTTGAGGTGCATCTTCTGGGGTCATTTTCCGTAGGACACTCTGCAATAAGAAATATTTGTCATGAGTCATTTTATTAAAATAATAGACATCAATGAGCAACCTGTGATTGTCAGGCAAAAATATGCCTAATTATATTAAACAGGAGGGTTTTAAACAATTACTCTGCACCTCTATTATTTAATTACTTTTACATGTTATTATTAGAAAAGTAAAAAAACATTGAAACTCTTAAATAGTTAGTTTAAAGAGTAAATATGAATTTTTATATTTATGTAAAAAATAAATAATCTAACTAATAATTTCAGTATGATTGTCATGACTGTACCTGTAGCGTGGCACAGAGGAGCGACTGGAGGTCATTGAACTGTGCCCTGTCCGAGTGGCTTTGTATTTGTTGTTCCATAGCCAGGACCTGATTCAGACGATCCAATATAATGAGAGTGGCTCTCTGGACGACGGTATAGCAATCTTTGGGCGAGTTCTTCACCATCTCCATCAGTGCTTCGTACGCAGCAGGGCGTAAATTGGCCTTAAAAAAAAATCAATATTAATTTATAGAAAGATGCTAAAAAATAAATTAATAATAGTGGGATAATTTGAGTGAATTTGTAAATGTCAGTAAAATAAATGCTAACACAAAATAAAATTAGAGAGTCCGAAGTTCAATGTTTTTCAAATTTGAGTAAAGAGCAGAAATTAAAGATATCTAAGTATAAAAATAAATTTAATGAAAATAATTCAATATTAACATTTTATTACTTAACCCCTCCCTTGGCTCTAATTTTAAATATAAAAATACATAAAATAAAAACTCAATGCCACAGGAAATTTAAAATTTGATGTATCTTGTCTTCAAAAATAAATGTTAATTTAGTAAATATATATTATCACTAGCCTTCAAAAAGACAGAAAAAATAAAAATCAGTTTACCTGTGCCCCGTCTACCCTATCGGTGGTAGCTAGAAGGCTGTGCACGATGTACTCAAAATATCTGGAGAGGATGTATGTCTCAGGCTGGGAACCATCTTCGACCTGGTTTTCAGCCTGATCATAACTGGCTTCAGCCAAACCAGTAAAGGCCCAACAGACGTTCGCTGCTACCCTCGGCTCTGCCTGAACAACACAAGTTGAGACAATTTAGCACAGTTGGTAACAGTCATCAAAAACCTCTTCTTATATATTTAATAACAACAAAGAAAGGAGGGAGTCCAATTCATGGAGTCGATATTATTCAAATAATATGAACTATTTTTACCTTCAGGCCGTTAAGCAGAGATTCAAGAAGGGGTTTAATATAAGTTTCGTTTGTAGCTGCTTCAGGTACTATTTCACAAATACGACCAAATGCCCATGCAGCTGTGTCTCTCACCGCAACTGAACTGTCATACATCAATTCAATAAGAGTAGGCATTGCTTGTTCTACCATGGGTTTCAGCGTACTGGAGTGAAGTCCACTCAGAATGGAACCTAAAAATAAAATAACACGTCGTTAATCTGTAAGTATACACACTATGAATAACAATAATTTTTAACTAATTGAAGATTAGGATTTTGGATTAAATTAATAGCCCAATACAGTAAAAAATACATTATTCATAATAACTTAACCAATATAAAAAATAAAATAATTAGGATTGTGACAAACAGATGTTACTGGTACAAGCACTAAATCAAATAAATAGATATAAAACATTTATAAACAGCAAATTCAAAATTAAAAACTAAAAATTCAACCAAGTTCGATCAAATAGAAAATATATATTGTCAATTTATATAATCGAATTTATTATGAGAATAAATTAATATAATTAATTAAAACATTAATAACATCAATAAACAATGGATGGCCACAAGCCAGGAAAGCAGCCCTCGACAGAGACGGATAGAAATCCTTGTACAAAAATCTCTACACCGAAAGGTAGAAGAGATTATATTGAAGAAGAAGAAGATATGACTAATGTTGTATAAGTCATTAAATAAAAATAAAAAAAAATCAGAGAATAAAATAAAACAATGACTGATTAGTTATATACAAACACTGATTACAGTTATACTGGTACTTGTTCAGGCAAACAAGATGGAAAAATAAATTTATCATGGACGAGTGGGTAAATTCATACTACATATGAACTCAAGTGAAGAACCATATAATGAAACTACTATATCATACTATAATTATAATCATGGAATTTCTATTAACTAGAATAGACACTTAATTGCTCATACTAACCGAACGCCATCACAGCAGCATCTCTGTACCTCCAGTCTGGTGATTTTATATTCTGTTGAACAAATGGCAATACATGTGGCACAATGTCTTCTTCGCAGCATGTCGCTAGTAACATTAAGCAAACTCCAGCAGCTTTGCTTGGGTTCCAATCATCTTCATCGTCAAACTCCTCCTAATTATGAAAAAAAAAATTAAATAAATATTAATTGTGCATTCATTAACAATTTTTTTTCTTTTCATTAACAAAGAGGAATGAAATTGTTCTAATTTTGGAACAAGTGGTAAATAAAACAAATGGCAAGTAGCCATAGGTAAATAATTAACAATACTTCTTCAAGTTATGATTTCCAATAATTATATGAAAGTTGAAGTATAGAACAGAGAAACAGGCACAGTCGTCTAGTTATTAAGAATATTTGATTTTCAACATATCAGCAGCAAAGAACTTCACTTTAATCAAACATCCCTTACAACTGACGAATTAGGAAGATACATAAAAGAGGAAATTTTATATTATGAAAAGAACAAAGGTAGGATACAATTTTGTTCTCTTCCTAGTATGAAGTCCACATGACATTTGGTATAGTCAAAGTATCATTACATAAAAATTCATAGACGAGATGAAATTTAAACTAACAAATAATAAATAAAACAAAAATGATGATAAAGAAGTGATAGAACAAACCTGTTTAGTAAGTTTGGTAAGAACTACAGGAACCAGATACTGAAGAGCTCCTTTAGCATAATAACGAGATGTCCTAGCTGGAGGTTTCCCCATTTCTACAGCTTCTGATTCTTCTATCGCTAAGTCGACTTCTTCATCAGAGACATTAGACCAAAATTCAATTCCTTGAAGAGCCACTTCTTTTATGTCAGATTTCATTGCTTCTAATGTAATCTGAAAATAAATTGTTTATTAATCGAGACTATTTGTAATAAAAATATAATTACTAATTAGAAGTTAATCAATGGTATATTCCAAATTTATAACATGATGAATACATCAATTGATCAAAATTACTAATTTTTTTCATTAGGTAATTTCTATAACTACAACTAATACATTTTTTTTTATCTACTAATATATATAAATTTATTGAGAAATAAGTAAATATAACAAATACAAAATGATAGGACACATTCTCCTTCCCTCTCCCCATCCAATTAAAGTTTAATTTACTGAGGATCAAATATGAAGGATGAGGAAAATAAGTTTTAGCATATACTTTTCATTTTGAATATATAAAAAAAATCAATAATTAAATTAAATTAATAATTAGCCATACTAACTGGAAACAAGGCCTGACCCATATAGGTCTCCATGTATTGGTAGTATAGAGTCATTATTTTAACAAGACATTGTAGAGCTGCAACACGGACTTGTGTATCAGTTGACTGTGTAGCTTCACAAACTACTTCCATCAAGTAGTTACGCTCCATCTAAAAATTGGTAAGATAATTGTAACTTACAGTGCATGGATAAGTCTATAAAGGATATGAATTAAGAGAGAGACTTAACTAAGAAGTATAGTCTTCTAAAAATAAAAAAGATAGATAATTTATTATTTCACTTGAAAATTGTAAGTACTGAATAATTAAATTTTTTTTTTAATTAATATTAAGTATGGTAACCAGACTTATAGAAAAAAATAACAATAATAAATCTATTAAAAAAATTAGAAGATAAATGACATAAAAGAAGCAATAATATCTGTAACTACTTAAAAATTAGTAGACCATTCATGCATCATTCTTAAAAAATAAAATGCATTTTTACATTTAAAATTAAACTTTCACAAAATCAAAGTCTCTTTCAATGACAGATAATTAAGATGGAAAGAGGCACTGAAAGATATAGCTAACTGTTAAATATAATTTGATGAAACAATATAGTTTCAATGGCTTTCATTAGTTTAAGAAAAAGTTTGCAAAAAATAAAATAAAAGCATAATTACATCTTGCTGGAAATTAGCCCTAGTGAATTCAAGTGAATTAAGAAGCGCGGTTGTTGCTGCCAGTCTGACGTAATTACTTCTCTCACCAGACCGCATTCCATGGACTATTGCTGTTAAAATTTGATTAGATTGACTAGCTAAACAATCATGTTCCTGAAAAAAAAAAAAGAAAAGGAAATTATAAAATTAGATAAATGCTCATAAAGCACGTGTATATACTAAAAAGTGAATTAATTAGCGTACTATTTCTTGGCAAATATAACCAATTGCTTCAAGAGTAGCCTCTTTCATGATTTCAGTCGAAGTGGGTCCAGTTACATTAGCAGACAATGTTGGAATTAAATCAGGCCACTGACCAACAGGGATCTCAGCTACCGCAACATAGGCGACGCATTGAGCAGCCGAGCTAGGCCTTGTGTTTTCTGTTCCCAAAGCTCCTAAGATCTGCCAATAAATATACAATTTATAATATAAGCACAATACAAAACTAATTCAGAAGCTATTGAAATAATCAACAAGAGGTATACTTACATTTTTCTTAATATACATTCTAGTTTCCTCGGGAAAGGCGAGCCACCTGGCTTGATACTGTGCTTTGATGTTTTGATCTTTGGAAGTGAGGTTATTTTTGAGCTGTAAACTAGCTGCCATACGTGCAACTGGGGAGTTACCTCCATGCTGAAGAATGTGTGACAAAGTTTGCAGGAACTCAGCCTGTAAATAAGTTATTCAAAATTTAAAAACATTTCTGGTTAATAAATGCTCTTTTAGCGAACACCACCGTTCGAACGAATACCCAGATTTATAAATTACAAATAATAAATAGTATTGGTATTTATTTTTATTTTTTTTTAAGCACTGTTTCAAGTCCATTTTGCTTAAATTTTATTCATTACCTTTGTTTCACTTCAACATAAAGACCAGTGCCGTTATTTACAGACAAAAGTGGATGAATATAGCAACTGTGGTCGTTCATAACGATGAAGTTTACCCCTTCAAGATTATTCATTATAAACAATCCACTGCATACTTAATGCCAATTTAAAAAAATATATTTATGTACTAAAAAAATTCCTTGATTTTTCCCGACTTTGAAAATTCCAAGACTTTTCGCATTTTTCCAGGTCAGTCGGCACCCTGTTATAATAAAACAAAGTCTACCAGATACGCCTTCCTCTGTTTTTAAGTTCCTGCAAAGATGAGTTACATATCACCACTCATGTTTGACAACAAAAATGAGCCGTGACAAGAGCGGTGAATACCTGAAATATTATTCAGAATATGAAATATGAAATGATATTCTGCACAGAAAAATAAATAATCAGAGGGAATTCTCTAATTATCTCAGTCTAATCACCTTCGAATTCCACATGAGTTCTTGATACTGATACCTCATTAAATTAAGTGTATGAAATTGGTTGGAAAAATTGATTAAAAAAAGTATGAATTCGAAAATATTATGAAATCAATTAAGAAAGTGGTTGAAAAAATTATGAATTTCACTGAAAAAAGCTATATAACGAATAAGGAATGTGATACTGTCAGAACAACAAAATACATTAATAGAAAAGAATTATTTATATATATATATATATATATATATATATATATATTATTTTTTTAAAAGCAGTTTTTTCATTTTGACATTTAATTATATGGACTTCTATTTTTCCATCGAACATAGCTACTTAAACAAGACACTGTATATTGATCCTTTCAGTCAATCTATTTTAAAACAAAAACTCGGGAGAAACTCAGAAAATAGCAGTCATGGAAGTAAGAAAATTCCCAGAGCTTTGGCTAAGCAGGTGGGCATCTCTTTAAATTTTCTTTTCTTTTGACAATTTACCCAGAAAAACTACAGAAGTAGTATTTTTTTTACTATTGAAGTTCTTATTACTGAGATTGTAATTAAATTTTTTATCATTTTAATTATTTTCTTTAATTAATACTTTTTATAAAATATATATATTGTTGGTCATATTTCCTTATTTACATTTTAATTCTGATGGGATCGGCACAAATTCAAGCAAAGAAATCATGGCGGAATTGTATTGGACTGCCAGGAGCCGAATGGCCTAAAAGCCAATGGCAGAGGCTTTTGATAAAAAAATATTTACTTTTTTTACTAATTTAGAGTAAATATCTTTTTGGAACAATTCCTAATTGCTTAAAGTGTTAAGTTAATGAATTATGTACCTGGCTCACAATTTTCATTATTTTTATGTTAGGTACTTTGTATCTTTTCATTTCTGGCAACTAACTTTTTTTATTTTACTTTAACAATTGAGTAAAATCTGAAAATTGTGGTTATCACAGAGCACTGAATAAGAAGAGAGTACAGGAAACACATGTGTACAATAATTATGATTTTTTTTTTTGTTCTTCCCTACCTCGCCTTTTAGGCTATACGGGATTTTCCCGGGCCGGGGGGTGAGGGCGGGGAATTTAAAATCCCCTCCAGCACCGGGACGCGAAGTCGTACTTTTTTTTTTTTAATCTTCTCAAATCTGTTTATCCAGTTGCCAGGCAACTAGCGGTGCTGTGCACACGCTCTAGCCCATTCGGCCACCCTGCCCCCCTTATGAATTATGAATTGACATTATGATACTTAGTGAGTTTAATTCAAACTTTGAATTTTGGTAAAGTCTTCCATTTGATTTGGAAGATATAATGGACTAATCCCAATTTCTATAAAATTCAAATAATACAGCTAGAATATGCTTGACTTCTCTCAGATCTTCAATAAATTTAGCAGTTTAATCTTTCAGCATCCATTAAATCTAAATCAGTTATGCAAAAGTGTGAAAGATTATCTTACCTTACTCTTTTGGCTAATGAAATATGCTATAGAAGTTAACAGGTAAATTCTAATGGTGATAGAAGAATCTAAGATACATCGATAAAAAACGATGAAAAACCAATTTTTTTTTTTTTTTTTGAAACTATTTTTAAACAATAATGAGCAATTATTATAGGAAAAAAATTATGTTTTATCAAGATAATACAGAACATGAAGAACATCGATGAAACTGACTGATGCTTACTAAGATAAATGCATATTCCAATCTCAACTAATTAAACCTAATAAATATTCAGTAAGTACTAACTAGAGAGGTTAAATAAGGAAAACCTATTCTTGATTTTCTGAACAATTACTAATTATATTAATTTTAAATGAATAATGCTAGACAGCCTTTAACATAACCTTCCTAATAAGCGACTCACTAAATAAATACAAGCTTCTTTACAAGATAAGAGTTTCACTAACTTAAAATGTCATCCCTTATAAAAAATAAGAGAAAAATAATTACTCTTTAAGTTAAAATACTGATATATACACAAAGAACTTCCAAAATATATTTATAGAAAACATAAGAAATATTGATTTTCTTTAACTTATTCAATTTAATTGTATCCTGTCAATACAACTTTAATTCATCTCTGCAGTTTAAAAAGTTTATAATAAAACTTTAAATGTGCTTGTGCTTACACAAAATTTTAATTTGACATAAATGTATAAATAGAATCATATCACAAAATCAGTACAAACATTATCAGGAGACTACACTTCCCAAAATGGAAATTTTAAAATATAGTTCTTAAAATTATATGATTGTAATATATATAAAATCACTTACCAAATTGGTTTGTGCAGCATGTTCCAGATAATTTTGAGCAGCCTCAAGTTCATTTTTGTCTAAGAAATAAATAAAGCAATTTAAGACAACATATAAACAAAATATATAACCTATAAGTAGTTGAAAAGATAGTTATAAGTTTTAAACTATTCAATATAACAAATATAATTAACTCAAAACCTTTGAGATATAAAAATAAATGAGTCTAGAATGGCAATAAACAAGGAAACTATATCACCAGAAAAAACATTTAAAATTACAATGATGGGTAGAAAAATTTACGAACCACTTAGTTAAAATCAATTTCAATATTTCTTAATAAAGAAATAGCAGTAACATGAACAAAATCATTTAAAGGTGCAACTAATGAGGAAACAGTGACCACACATAACCCTTATGTTCACAAGTGAACCTTTGCCACATAAAAACACATTTTTTATAGTATCACTAAATATAATTACGAGACATTATTAAATTGCATCAAAACACTGGTCAATAAATATAAAGTAAAGTTATAAATGAATAGTTCAAAAAGTTTTTTATGGTTAGCATAATTGAATAAATTTATTAACTTGATTCGTCATTGTTAACTGTTCCTTTATATTATCGTTAATTTAAACGATAGAATTACCAAAATTATGATACACAAATAAAATATTTAACATTTAAGAAAAGAATACATTAAAACACAAGGTCTTAATTGTGCAATAAGCATATATTTTTCACTGATCAGCAAATCAAGTACATACCTGGAGAAACAGTCTTCTCTAAAATTTGTATAAGCTGTGCTGTAGCTTCGCTATTCATTTTCAACATCATTTTTGACACAAAACACTAATAATTTAATGATTTTAAGAACAACTTATTGTCGTCATACAATAACCGGCAATCGCCATATGCTTCAAGGACGGTCTGTATTCCTACGCTTCATTGGATACAGTACCTCTAGCCAGCAGTCGAATAACCAATAGTTACATTTCGTATTTGTGTACTAAAATCACAGCAATAATTATTCTATAAACATGATCATATGAAAATTTTGTAATAAAGTTTTTTATTAAATCACTGAAAATGTTTGCATAGTTTTGTCCATCAATATTACACAAAACAAAGGAATGAGTGTATAAACTATATTTAATAAGAAATAGAAAACATATTCCAGTTATTACATTCATTAATCATAATTTAGTATACGGACTACTTTACTACAAATTGGCGCCAGTATGGATCGTTGTGACAAGGTCCGTTAAACGGGCGGGCTACCCTCCTCATTTCATTCAAAATATTATATCTATTAAAATTGTGTTACTTCAGACTTTTACTTTGTTTTTATTGATTTTTATTCAGTAATTTTAAGAAAACATATTTAAATATTTGGAGGAAAGACTAAATCACTTGACAAAATTAATGACATGGATTTACCGCGTTGACCAATAAATGTTAACGCAAACCATAGAATTACAATATTTCAAAACAGTGCTTCCCAAGATAATATTTTGTGTCTGTCCATAATCTAAAACAAAACTAAAACAGAAAAATTATGTTGCAAAATTACCAAATATTTCCCTAAATTCATTTTATACCTTAATATGTTTTAACCGTCCGATCCTTTTTCTTGAATCTGCAATTTGATAAATAATTTTAGAAAATTAGTAAATGGTATTTGACCAGCGTGAATCGTAGCATAAAATTGCCCGAAATTTTTTGAGTTTGACTCGCTTGACTGTATAAAGCTTTGCATACTCGTGATGGGAACGCCACGGAAGCGATCCTGAATTATTCTGTATTCTCATACATACATACATTGTTGGCGTAACAATCCATTAACGGTTTAGGCCTCCTCCAAAAGTCTCCGCCAGTTGGCCCTGTCTGTTGCTGCAGCTCTCCAGTTCCTTGCGCCGAGGAGATTGTGTGCGTCCGCTGTGACGGAGTCGGCCCACCTCACATATGGCCTACACACTCTTCGCCTGTCATGAAGCTCTTTAGCCAATCTCCATCCTTGCTACGTGGACCGCCCATCGATGTCTTCCAATCTTAATGTACTTGATGATATCAATCAGGGTTTCGTTACAGCCTTGATAGTTCCTGGTTCTTCCTCCTTTTCCAGGTGTCTCCCTCTCGAACCGAATACTTCTCAACATCTTCTGTTCAAACACCAGAAGGAGGTTCTCACTAGCTCTAGTGAAGGCTCAGGTCTCTGATCCATACGTAAGAACCGGGCGAATCAGGGTCTTATATAGGCCAATCTTGGTCTTGTTGGAGAGGAGTCTGCTCTTGAAGTACTTTGCTAGCCCAAAATAGCTTCGATTGGCTGCAGAAATTCTCCGGTTGATCTCCTGGGATATGTCGTTTTGGGTATTTATTTCTGAACCCAGGTATACGAAACTTCGCACCATCTTAAATCTGCATAGTCAAACTTTGAAGAAACCTGTCCCTGCCTCGGATGGTTCCATTGTTAAATACTTTGTCTTGGCTTCGTTGATGACCAAGCCAAGAATTTTCGCCTCTTGTTCTGGAGCCAAGAACGCTTCTCTTAGGGCACGCTCCGATCTGGCAGCTATGTCGAAGTCATCTGCGTACTCTAGTAACTGGACCGTACTGTTGAATAGGGTGGCTCTTGTTTGGATTCCCGATCTACGCACCACTCGGTCCACTAACAAATTAAAGAGAAGGCACACAAGGGAGTCTCCCTGTCACACACCGCAGTTTGTGGCAATAGGTTCAGAGAGGTCAGATCCGATACGAACTGCGCTGTTCATCTTCACCAGACGAGTTACTCTCGATTATCCTTAATGTTATTTCCAAGGATTAATTTTGCAATATATTGTGGCTATTCATCTTCTAAAGTTATCTAAATTTGAATTTCAAGTATATGTATATAAACTTTCGCCAGTCTTACTGATTAAATGCATTAGTTCTCCGTCCCATTATTGTCTTCTGCATTGTAGAGCTAGCTGCACGTGTAACCCTTTGTCCAATGGCAAATTTATTGTACCAACATCTATTAGCAATGTTGAAAATGCCGTCCTATCCATTATCTCCTATATCTTATTTTTTCATTATTTTATTTATTGACATTCCGCTTAGCTTCTTAGCAATACAGGATTCGGCAGCAGTATCACTAAGCTGCAACGCTAAGTGCCACTACTGTCAACTTTCTTTACTTCACTATCTTCGTTTTCAGTCTAATATAAGATCCTTATATTCCTCCTCTTCTTGGGGAACTTCACCTTCCGTCAGTCTTCTTGTTACGGACCTTCCTCTTTTTTTCTCTGGTTAAAGTGGACCGGCCCCACCAAAACTTTCTAGCCGTTAATGGAATAACTAAACCGTAGGGCATTTTCTAACTGAGAAAACTCATCTTCAGTGAGAAAGTAGATCACCACGACTCTCATCATTCCTTAACGCCACAGGTTCGGTGCAGGTCGTGACTAATAGACTTACAGTTTCCGGAACACCACATATTAGATGGAGAGAATCAATTTCATACCAAGATTGTGAAGCTAGACTCAAAATTCTCTTTACCTTGTGAATTATTTTGAAACCAAGTCGTCCGAGAGGATCCACTTAGCCTTTAGCCTCAATTGAACAGGTGCAAAAGTGCTTCCTCAATGTACTCGCTTTTGAAATATTTTCTCACCGCCGGGTTCCATTCTTCAATTGTGTGCTTCCTGACTATGTTCATCCATCTGTTAGGCTCATAAATAATCCCCACACATAAACAATTTTGAAGATGAATGGTCTGTTATCGGATGAAAGATGGACTTAGGCAAGGTGATCCTTTATCCCATATTCTATTAAAACATTGTTTTAGAGTACGCAATAAGGACAATTCGGACATATTCTTGGGGCACGATCTATAACAGGATGACACAGCATATGGTTTATGCTGATATTGTCATAACGGGAAAAATAAAACTGCATTAATGCTATTAATAAACTGCTAATTAGCAGCAAAAGGACTATGGCTACAAATAAATGAACATAATATTTTCTGTTTACATGCAAACGTCAAGAAAGCCGAGTGGAACAGTTGAACGCGTCACAATAGGTAACCACACCCTAAAAGTGGACGAAAATTTTAAGTATTTCGGAGCGCTAATAACTGAAAATAATGAAATAGTAGAAGAATTGAAAGCTTGGATGGCTGCCGGGAATAGGTGAATGAATGAATGAGAAAATAATTTAATCTGGGACTACAGTCTCCTAAGAATAATAATAGAATTACAAATTTTTGGTATTAGTCTGGCATAAAATAATAAAAAATGCAAACTAATTGACTGCTTATTATTATAGAAATTGTGCAGTAGATTAAAATTAAACAGTATACAGATATAAGTAATTTTACATGTTAGCGGAAGTTTGAATGTGGAGTAGGTAGTGAAACAGAAGTTGTTTGAAGGAATTTGTGGACGAGGATTGACGTATGGAGGTAGGAAGAGAGTTCCAAAAGGAGGAAGTACGAATGACAAAGAATTTGTTGAAGGAAGTAGTTTTATGGGAGGGAATATGTAAATCTGTAGGTTGAGACCTAGTATTGAGAGAGTGGATAGAGGAGCGTAGAGTAAGGAGTTCCAGGATGTAGGGAGGGTTTTTGGTTCTGCCTGTTTTGCTATTTTGCCATGCAAAATATGCTGTACTATATATATACAGAACAAAGTGTATGAAAAAGTCATCTGACCCATCGTCATCTATAGTTATGAGACTAGGGTGATCTCTAAGGCTACTGAAAAAAATCTGCTCGCATGGGAGAGAAGGGTTCTCCACAAGATCTATGACCCGCTGTGAGAACAAGGACTATGGAGAATTCACAACAATAAAGAGCTGCGCGAGATGTATGCTAGGCCGGATCTGGCCTCTGTTGTGAGGGTAAACCAGATCAGATGGTTGGTCCATGTGGCGCGTATGCTCAGAGACGCGATTCGTAATCACTTTCTGGAGGATCGACCTAGTGGAAGACGTGGCAGAGGAATACCACGCTTGAGATGGCTGAACAAGATGGAGGTCATCCTAAAACAGATGGAAATTCCGAGATGGCGAATGCTCGCCAGGGATAGAGAAGAGTGGAAGATGATTATAAGACCCGCTCAGATTCTTCCAGGACCGTAGCTCCAATAATAAATAAATAAAACAGTTTAACAAGTAACTAAAACTAATTCAAGATATTTAGAGCTAATCACCGAAAATATTAAAATGAAAATAGAAAATACTGGAATAATTTAACGGTTAAATATGGTACTTAAGTAATTGTATGTTATTCAATGATTAAAAGTTTTAGTAAATGGATAGGCAAGGAACTTTCTGCTCTTCCAATGTTTCATTGGCCAGTTCCTCCAATACTTTGAAATATTTTACTTAAAATAACACTAAAAGTAATAAGTAATAATTAATAATTATTACCATTGAATTTTGTGTGTTATTTTAAGTAAACGACTGCGAAACATTTGAGGGGCTGGCCAATGAAATGTCTCCTAATGTCCTCCACTTCGTCTAGCCATCTCAAGCATGGTCTTCCCCTGCCACCAGGTCGATCCTCCAGAAAGTGTTTGGTAATCGCGTCTCAGAGCATAAGTACCACATGATCCAACCATCTGATCTGGTTTCCCCTCACAATTTAGACCAAATTCGACATACATTTCGAGCAGTTATTTATTGGTGTGAATTCTCCATTATCCATGTTCTTACACCGGCCCTTGGATCATGCGGAGAAAACTTCTCTCCCATGCATTTTTTTAGTAGTCTTAGAGAACACCCTAGTCATCTCATACACCGCGATCTTTGTTCTGTAAGAAAGGGATCTATAATATAGTATTTTTCGCATGGCAAAACAGCACCTATTCCCGGTAGCCATCCAAGCTTTAAATTCTTCTACGATTTCATTATTTTCAGTAATT